TTTGAAATATTGAATCGGAGCATTCGGGACTCCGATTCTCGATCCACAAATTTCTACACAATCCTAGGGGTGCCCAGAACAACATATATGAAAATGAAGTCGATCCAACGATCCGAACATATCGAACCCAGATAACGCCTAATATGTGGTATCCGATCAACGGTCAAACGATAACCAAACTAATATTCAAGCATACCGTCATGATTGGGGCGACATGAGGATTATTTTAGGACCCAAGGACCAGTCAAAAAAGGGCCCACGCGCAGCCACATGCACTGACAGCACGCAGGTGTCCAAAGCAATTCCGGCGATAGAAAAATCTCCACACCGCCAGTCAAAACTTATACCTACATGATCAGCATATAGAGTGGAGTAACTTTTGTCCCCTACCCCAAAAAGACAACAGAAGTTGCCAAAATCGGAGGCCAAAAACCAACCAAAATTCCATCGCTTAAAATTGTTCTAAAACACAGGAATTTCTCCTAAATACCACAACTAGCAGCTAGAACACATTGAAAGGATGAGAAAGTGTACCAAATTCGACGAAAATGTTGGTCGGAATCGTTCAAACGAGCGTTGAAAATTTATGACAAAAATCGGACAATTTTCTAATTTTTCTAGCTGCCAACGACGGCGGCTGCGGCTGGGAATGGTTGGGGCTAGAAGAAGAAGTGGTGGCGGTTCTAACGTGACCGGTCTCATGGGCGGTGGTTGGCTGTGGCTGTGGCTGTGGCTCAAATAGCCAACTGGTTGGAGCAAAAAACGAAGGGAAGGGGGGCTGGCTCGAGGAGAGAGAGAGAGAGAGAGAGAGAGAGAGAGAGAGAGAGAGAGAGAGAGAATTCTTGTTTTTAAAAAAATCTCATTTCGAAAAATTACGGTTTTGCTACTAGACTATTTTTTATCGTAACTCTTTCGTTACAACTCCGATTTGAGCCCACTACGTGTTCGTACTCATCTCGACATGCTCTACGCAACGGTACAGTTGAAATCGCCAAATTCTTCCTAAACAAAAAGTCAGCTTTTAAACCAATAAAATATTCCCAGGGTAAATTCATCTTTTACTTGAATAATTTAATAATTAAAATTTTATTTAGGATTGGGTTATTACAGCAAAAAAAAATAAGGAGAAAGTCATAGATCTATGACGCATAACGGGTCATGGATGACAAAATTTGATGAATGCGTATTTTAGACACGTCATTAAAAATGCATTTGGTGTTGTAGTGTTATTAATCTGTAGAGTTGGAAAAGATTTTGTCATTTCTGAATTAAAAAGAGCCTAACGAGATTTAGTACAACAGTTGTTCAAGTTTAAAATTCTCCAAGAACTATGCGTGGCTTGATCCATTAAGAAGGTACGTTGGCAACCTATGATTTAACCTATGTGTAGCCGGAAGATTAAACACTACATAGCATGTTCCGATCAACTGTTATAGTGGAATGTAACGATTGATTGTGCTTAAAAGGCTGAGGCCCAGTTGGTACTCTGGATGTTTTGTGTGAGTTTAATCTATTAGATGCTGAAAACTTCAAATGGTTGGTTTGTACGTTTAACTTTTGTTACATGTTGACCATTTTGGATGTTATATTTGTTTTTTTTGAAAATTTTTGGTGAAATGTGCCAATTATATGGGTGACTCTGTCAAATTTTTAGCATAAGTCAAAACCTTTGGTTGTTTTTAGTTAAGAGTAAGGGAGTTTTAGTAATGTAGGTCAGACATATGTTGGATGTCATAAGTGCACAAGACTCAACTTAGGTTCCAAGGAGGAATCTGATGGTGGGTCTTGTCATGAAACCTAAGTTGAGTAGTCCAAAAATAGCCCAAATGGTCTAATATACTTTTTGAAGGTCAAGAGGGCCTCTAAAAGCCTCCAGACCCATGAGGCCAACTTGGCCCAAACAGTCCCACCCAAAATCACTTACGATATCTAATTTCGATGAACTTACATCAATGGAAAGAGCACGAAAAGTTAAATAAATTCAATTCTTAGAGCATCACCTAAAAGTAGCTGGCAAATGGCATAGAAGTCGCAGTGGTCCTCGAACTTTCCAACTTCGTTGCGCTGCACACAGTGATCCAATGGGGGTAAAGTCACTTAAGTTTTCTTTTTTCCTTGGTTGATGGCCAAAAAAAAAACACAACAAATTTAGCCAAATTTGCTGGTTAGAGGTGGCTGAAATCTGACTCAAAGTCGGGTGGTCGTGGTTGCAAGGCACTAAAGATTTTTCACCCAAAATTGTCCACATATGGAGGTTGGGAGGGTGGGTGGTAACTGAAATTTGTTCCCTATTCAAAGGCACAAAGAATCCAACAAATGGTGATGTAATAAAAGGTCAGATGGGGGAGAAATCACGCCAGGAAGTCTAAGAGTCCCAGCTCCTACAATAACGGTTGGGAACTGACATGTGTCAAGCCATGTCTGTGGTTTGTTTTAGGTTTTCAATTTTTTCTCGTTCTTCCCAAAATGCCCCTAAACATCAAAGATGTGTAACATTTTCGTTTTGAACTCCAATGTCTGAATTGTTTACGACTATGTGCTTATGAGGTTGAGCTTACACGTTGTGGCATAAAGAAAAATCTCATTACTTGTCACTTAGCGAAAGAACCACTAAATGTTTGAAAATTTATTAGTGATGGATTATGGTCAAAAACACACTAGATTTTATAAATAAATTAATGAAACTTCAGGTCAGATGTTACACCTATTCCATTCATCTATACAACATTTTTTAAACTAACATCCTCATCTAAATCAATTGCATATAAACAAATTTGCAGTATGAGCTTGCATATTTATAAGTAGTTTTGAATGGCAATAGCATCGTATTCTCTGAGTCGTAAGTGCTTAACATTTCCAATATAATTTCAACAATCCTTCTAAACATTTCATGTTCTTATGCCTCCCCTGCTTTAACCACCATTAAAATATAACTTCTATTCAACCTTAATTCCAACTTCGTCTTTTACTTCAAGCTTTGGTTTCTATATATGACTTTATCCCCACCCACAAAAAAGGCTTCCAAAATAGTGATTTTTTTTTACTCAACCCATGATTGTGATCAAGCAAGTTTATTAGCCACCTTCCACCCTAGTATAAACATGCCCTAAACTAAGCCTTGCAATTTTTTGTGTTTTAAAATATACTCACAAGCATACGAATTTATTGAAGTATAGACTTGTAAGAACGAGGCCAAACCCACATGGGTTGTGGAGAAAAAGATAAAAAATTAATTAAATCCAAACTAATTTAAATCTAATCTAATTGAAGAAAATTGATTATATAAGAAAATGTAAACTAAGGATGCAAAGAACTAAACAAGAAAATAAGCTAAAGATAATATAAGAAAACACTAAAGTCTCAAATTCCACCACTACTAACTTCATAATTTCCCTAGTAATTATTTATTAATTCCCTATTAGGAGTAGCAATCTAGAAATCAATATACTACTTTCTCAATATTTATCTATAAAGGACATGAGAAAATAATTCTAAGATAGATTTTCCTTCACTTCTAAAGTATATAATGAGAGACAAAATATCAAATAAATTTATTTATAAACTATAAGCATCTAATGAATCCATTTGGATTTTCTGTTTGGAATAAATCAAATATACTCTTTGGGTTTTCTATGTAGTTTTCACCTCTCCATTTGTGAGAGTTTTTCACCTTTGCTTTGCGAGAGCTTTCTACCTATCTTCTGTGAGAGTTTTATGTGTATTGTTATGACTTGGTTTTTTCAAGCTTTTTCTATTTTGGTTGTTCTGAGTATGCACTCTTAGCTGGGATGCCAATGCCAAAGTTTCTTCGATCATGTATGATTGTTAGTGAAGGAACCCCATATTGTCTTAATTTTAATGTTAGATCGCTCCATTATTGTAATGGTTATTAGCCCTTTGTGGCTAGTGACTTTTTTAGTTGAATTATGAATGCAATCCCAGAATTTCTAAAAAAATGAATCCAATAAATATTGAGACACAAATGATCAAATGAATTTATAATCAAGAACTATAGTACCAAGCATAGATGAATAAAATTATATTACTTTCTACCAATAATAAATGGTATTAAAGGTGAAAAGATTAGAATTCCATTAATCGTGTGAAACAAAAATCATAAACATTCAAAACATTGTCAGGAGAATTAAAAAATAAAAACATAAAATGAATCCATCAATGGAGTTTACTCCTCAACTAGAAGTTTAGATAGACATAATTAAATTAGTAAATAGATTCAACATACATGAATGAAAATAGAAAAAAGAAAGAACTAAAATATGGTGCCCTATGGTTTATAAGATCCAATCAAGCCATTCAACCAAAAGCAAATCCCAGCAATGAAGCAACACCAGATTGACATATGGTTGACTTCCAATGATTTAGGATCTTGATTTTGCACCGTTGTGATTGCTTCTATTTTGCCTAGTGTTTAGGAATTCATTCATTTGTTTCTGTAAAAGGTTCTCCTAGCCTCTGTATATAATACCATATATTCATTTATCAAATCAATTGAAAATACACACTTCGACAATCCCTCTGTAGTCTTCTCATGGTATTAGAGCAAAAACTCTCCGACGAGCAATCTGCCATGGGAGAAGAAAGTTCTCAGTCTTCACAGACCCAGTTACCCATCAATCCAACTTCTCCTCCAAACCTACCCAACCTCATCTCTATCAACGCCACTGCATAATTACCATTAAATTGACTTCCTCAAATTATCCATCTTGGAAACCTCAATTTGATTCTGTATTGTTTGGCTATGATTTTCTTGGTTATCTCAATGGTTCCACCTCATGCCCATCAACAACTATTGTTCAAAATGGAACAACTGTTTCAAATAATGATCACTCCATCTGGTTACGATAAGATAAATTGATTCTTCATGCTATTTTTGCATCAGTATCAGAATCTATCATGCCCATGATCTCCTCATCTAAAAGCTCCAAAGATTCTTGGGAAAAATTGGCAAAGCTTATGCCAATCGTTCCGAATCACAAGTTATGCACCTCAAGGAGCATCTCACTCTCTTGTCACGTGGCACCAAACCTGTATATGAATATCTTCAACTCTTGAAGAGCACGACAGATGAGCTTGCCTTAATCGATGTTCCAATAACTGAGGATGACTTGACCATCTATGCCCTTAATGATCTTCGTATCGACTTCAAGGAGATTTCTGCAGCAATCTGCGCCCGAGAAACTGCCATCAATTTTGAAGAACTTCACGATAAGTTTGTTGATTACGAGGAAACTCTCAAGAGAGAAAGCACCAGTTCTGACACCACTCAAATCACAGAAAATTACACTTGAAGCTCCTCCAATCGACCTAACTCAAGAGGTGGTAATTATCATAACAGATCTTGTCACACTTCCAATTGTGGCTCCTCCTAGATTTAGCGGTCTTGCAGTTTTCCCTCACAAAATGGGTCTCGTAACTCCTCCAATTTCCACCCCAACCACAACTCAGGTCATGGCTCCTATCGCCACCAAGGGTCTCGAAGCAACAATCGCCAGCCCTCCTTTCAATCCAGAGGTCCAAATATCACTTGCTAGCTTTGTGATCAACAAGGACACACAGCCCAAAACAACCTATCATCACGGTCTTCCTATGGACCTATATGGCCAACCATACAACTGCTCAATGATTTCAAAACCAAAATTGGCTTGTCGACTCGGGTGCGTCCCATCATGTGACCATTGATCGTAGCAACTTGTCCTTTCATCAAGACTATGAAGATCCATATGATATTCTTATTGACGACGGTTCTAGCTTAGCAATCACCCACACTGGTTCTACAACTCTTAACTCTCGTTTTAATTTATCTAATTTTTTTTGTTCCTTGTATGCAAAACAACTTGATTTTAGTTTCTGTGAGAGTTCGTCTTCTTAAAATTAAAGAAAGATAATTGCTATAAATTTATAAGTAATTATCTTGGTGTTTTATATATATATATATATTATTTTATTATGTGTATGTGTATTACATATATATCTTATTCTAATATATATATATATATGTATATGTCTTAGTAAAATAGTTCTTTGTTAATGTGGTTACGTGTTAAAGAAAAAAACATGTTAAGTAGCAAGGCTATGATTACTAGCTTTGTCAACTCACCAAGAAGAATAAAATAGGATTGGAGGAATTGGAAGAGTCACAATGTAAGACATTCTTTCTTATATGCAAGACTACATTAATAACTATATATATTACTTGGATAGTAAGCATACAAACCGCCAATATACCATCCAATAGGAAATGAATTATTGCTGGCTTATACCTTGTATATATAGGTTATTAGTTGCACAGCAAATGAACAAAAAAAGCAAAAGAGAAATAGTGATAGAGAGGAGTAAGAAAAAGAGTGGGAGACTGAGTTTGTGAATGCGGTGAAAAATTGGGAAACACCTTACATTTCTAGCAAAAGCTTTGGTGTCAAGGTAGAGAGTTTCTTGGGGGCCTTTACGGGGATTGATTTAATTAAATTTCGTGAGTACTATATTATGCATGATATTATAATTTGATGGATGTTCTTGATATTAGGTGTTTACGTGTTGTTAATTATTTAATTCACGTTGGCATGATTATATGTATATTGGTGATATTTAAATGTTATACATTGTTTTTATGAGATATGCAAAAAGAAGAACTATATCATGTCATGGAAATTAGTTAGAGTTCTTGAGTTGAGAAAATAATGGTGGAAAAGAGGGTAATGGAAATAGTATTTTGTGTAGTTGAGTCTAACTCTTGGCAAGTACCAGGTCTCAGGGATCCCAGAGTGCACATAATTTTTATTAGGTGATTCGGGATTGGTGACAGGGAGTTAGACAAGATGACTAACAAAAGGGGAATTATGGCATGATTGAGATGGGTGTTAGTTCATATAAACGGGCATTCGGGACCAAGTGGTATAAGCATGGTATGGGACATGCAAGTCTACTTGTCTGGTTATATGAATTAACTGGAGTAGATGAAGAGCATTCATGCATTATTATTATTAAAGTGATATTTGGCAGTGTGATTGTATGTCACTTAATTAGTTATATCAATCTACTATGGTAAGGTCTCATGTCCCTACTAAGCGGTGGTTGCTCACCCCTCACCCTATTTAATTTTTCAGATGAATTAGTGGGCAAGACAAGTACTAAACCAGTTGAGGCTGAATTAGATGAAAGTGATAGAGCTTTATTTATTAATTGTAAAGTTGTAACATTTTGGAGCTATTTTTATTAGAGAAGTTTATTTTAAACCTTTTTTTATCTTGTTTTTTTATTTTACTTTTTATTTTCTCAAGCACCGTGCGCGGGGGTTTCCACTGACCTCCGGATTCGGGGTGTGTCAGTTTCTTAATTTTGTAAAACCAATAACACTTCCATTGAATTCTTTCCTTCTTTCTTTGTTGTGAAGGATCTCATCACGGGGGCACAGCTTCTTCGCGGGGTAAATAGGAATGACATCTACAAGTGGCCACAACACACGGGTTCTGCTTGTCGCCACCCTTGTGCCTTGGTTGGAGTTGCCGCATATCATGCTACATGGCACCATCGACTAGGACATCCCTCCTCCAAAATTCTCCACCATGTCATTCAATCTCAATCTCTGTCTACTTCCTCTATATTTAGCAAAGACTTGTTTGTAATTCCTATTCTTGTAATAAGAGCCATAAACTACCATTTGATGTTTCCACTCTTAAGAGTCGTAAACCTTCAGATTTGATCAACTCAAATGTTTGGGGTCCTGCCCCTATTTCCTCTTATGATGGATTTCGATATTATGTTATCTTTGTTGTTCACTTCACTAATTTCCTATTATGATGGATTTCGATATTATGTTATCTTTGTTGATCACTTCACTAAATATATCTGGCTATATCCTTTAAAATAAAAATCATATGTTTTCTTTGTGTTCACCAAGTTCAAATCTAGTGTTGAAAAACACTTTAATACACCCATTATCATGCTTTACTCGGATGGTGGTGGGGAATTCATTCGCCTTCGATCATTCCTTGAGTCTCATGGTATTCAACACCTCATAACTCCTCCACACACACCACAACACAATGGGTCTGCTAAATGTCATCACCATCATGTTAGCGAAACTGGTCTCACACTCCTCCATAAAGCATCATTACCATTATATTTTTGGAGCTTTGCTTTCCAAACTGCCAGTTATCTCATTAATCGTATGCCCACTCCTATTTTACAATTTAAATCTCCGTTTGAGTCCTTGTTTAAATCTCCTCCCAATTACTCATTTTGAATTTTTGGATGTCTCTGTTATCCATCGTTACGTCCCTATTGTGCTGATAGACTCGAGCCTCAATCTCGACCTTATATCTTTGTTGGCTACTCCACCTCTCAGAGTGCCTATAAATATTTTAATCCTTCCACCTCGAAAGTCTTTATCTCTCGTCATTTACAATTTATTGAGCATATGTTTCCTCCCTTGTGTCATGGCCCACATGTTCAAGGCCCAACCCGTTGGATTAATCATGCTAGACCTCTTAGCCCACATGTCCAGATTCGTTGTACAATAGTTGGTAGACTACAGTTGGTGACAGTAGTTGGTAGATGTTGGTAGGTGACATTGTATCTTAGCCACCTACTGTGGTGGTAGGTGGGATAGGAACAGTATATAAGGGGGATGACACATTGTGTATCCTCACCTCACAACTTGTAAAGCATTTGAGTAGCAATACAAGCAGATATTCTCCCAAACTTTCTTTAGCATTCTTTTGCGTTCTTGCTCTTGCGATTGTTCTTTGCTTGGTTCAATCTTGTGTTGTAGGAAGGAGGCTGACTTAGCTTGTTCGAGAGGCGATCAAGTCTAAGGCCGCACGGAAGGAAGACTCTGAAAAATTCATCCCGTGACAGTTGGTATCAAAGCGAAAGCTCGAATCATTCGAAAAAGCATGTCAAAGAGCAGATCCGATGTGGAGACTGATCTGTCCAAGGTCAATATGGATCGTGGGGGCAAATCAAAGAGGGAACGATCTAGAGATGTTGTAGCCATGATGGAGAAGCGGCTTTCTAAGATGGAGATTGTCGTGGTCAAGTTCGATCAGCGACTTGAGAAGGATGTCCTTACGAAGAGTGGTTTCGAAGCTGTGGTGGATGAGCTTCAAGGCCAATTCCAAGGAGCCCTCAACTCCACGCTAGACAGCATGCGGCTAGATGTCCAAACCAAGCTAGATCACTTCTTAGCGGAGCTTACGTCGCTTCGTGAGGAGGTGAAGGATGTGAAGGGAGATTGGGCATTGTGCAAGGAAGCTGTCTTGAACAAGACCCGGGCTCCGAAGGAACCCAAGGTGTTAGATTCTTTCAAGCCCAAATCTTATAATGGGAAGAGGGAGGCGAAGGAGCTAGACACATTTTTGTGGAATATCGAGAGGTATTTCAAGTATCTGAAGCTCAAGGATGATGAGCCCAAGATCAACACGGCAACGTTGTTTCTCACCGACAATGCTCTCATGTGGTGGCGTCGTCGATCTATGGAGATCGAACAAGGTACGTTTACACTTGAGACTTGGGATGAATTTAAGAAGGATATTATGTTGCATTTCTATCCAGAGAATGCCAAGTATGAGGCAAAGGAGAAGCTGAGGTGGCTGAAGCAAACTGGGAACGTGAAAGACTATGTCGCCATGTTCACCAACCTATTGTTCGAGGTGCCTAGCATGACGGATGAAGACAAGCTCATGTACTTCATGAGTGGCCTACAGAATTGGGCCAAGCTGGAGTTACAAAGGAGACATGTCCAAACCTTGTCAGAGGCAATTGCTGCAGCCGAGTCTCTTGTTGAGTTCAAGAAGAAGGATCAAGGCAACTCCAAGTTCAAAGGAAAGAAAGATAGCAGTGGATCCGGTGGGGGAGACAACAAGCCAAAAGAGGGTAGCAAGTCAAGAGACAAGTCTGACGGTCACAAGTCATCCGGGAGGAAGAATGACAAAGGTGACAAGGGGAAAGACAAGTTGAAGCTAGCTTGCTACTTGTGCGATGGAGCGCACATGATGCGGGATTGTCCGCAGAAGAAAGCCTTGAATGCTATGAACCGAGAGAAGGAAGAGGAGGCCGACAGGGAAGCAGGAATAGGGGCCATTCACCTTTTCAATGATGTGCAGGCCAAAGTCGCTCAACCACAAGTTCAAGCCAAAGGTGTGATGTTCGTCGACGCCATGGTGAATGGCAAGACAACCCGTTGCCTGGTGGATACAGGTGCCTTGCACAACTTTATGTCTATACAGGAAGCAAAGAGACTTGGGTGTCGAGTCTCGAAGGAAGCAGGCAGTATGAAGACGGTGAATTCAACTGCCAAACCAATTGAAAGGGTAGCTCGTGGTGTGGAGCTACACATTGCCACTTGGAAGGGAGTAGCTGACTTCTCTGTGATCTCAATGGATGACTACGATGTCATGCTAGGAATGGAGTTCATGGACAAGGTAAAGGCATTCCCCATTCCATTTTACAATACTATGTGCATTGCACAGGGTGGAGTAATGTCATGCATGGTGCCAGTGGTGAGGCAACAAGGCGAGTCAAAGCTTTTGTCAGCCATGCAATTTTCCAAGTCTTGGAAGAAGGGCGAACCAACGTTCCTTGTAACTAGGCCTGGGCACAGTTCGGGTCGGGTAAAATTTTGGCCGACCCGCGAGGCCAAACCGAAGGAGAGCTCAGGTCTCGGGTCGGGTCGAGTCTAGAGTGAAAACCGAAATTAGGCCGAACCAAAAATGTGCTCGGGTCTCGGGTCGGTTTAGGGTTCTGATCGATTTGGGCTTGAGCCCATTTTTACCATTTTCAAAAGCCCAAATCTTATTTAATTTTAAAAAAAAAAAAAAAAAAAAAAAAAAAAAAAAAAAAAACATCAAAAAATTTTTTTTAACAAAACAAAGCCCAAATCAGATTTACTTTCAACCAAAACCCATTTTTTGTTGTCAAATTGCCAAAACCTTATAAATTCTTATGAACAATCCCAAAACACTTTTTACTTATCTTTCAAAACCTGAAATTATGTAAATTCAACTCAACCTACAAAAATCCATCATTCCAATCTAAGTTTCTAAACTAAATCAATCTCACATACACAACCAACCAACCAAGGAAATGTAATATAATCTCTTACAAACCATTACAAAAAATAATACACAAACCAAATTAAACTTATGAAATTAAATATTACAACCCATCACAAAAATACACATAAAGATAATATCCTTGCAAAAAATCTGCTGCATCCATTCTTCCAAAAGCCTTAACAAAACAACCTACACAACACTTAAAAGAATTAACACAAAGTTTCACCATCAACAAATCATAATTAAAATAATATGCAAGAAAAATACCTTCCAACATATCTTAATCACACTAAGAATGGAGAGTCTTATTCAAACTTGTCCTGCATGTTTTACTCCCCATTTCTACAAAATATAATAATATGTCTAAACTTCTAAATTGAGTTATTCAGTTGACAAACCAGATGAAGATGAATCTACTGAATTTCAATACAAAAAAAATAAGATACACGTGTATGGAGTGATTGATAACAAAAGCTCCCCTAGTTTCGACCCATCATAACACTTACTAAATAAAAGTGAGCTAGACATATCAAATCACACATAGCAAGTACAAAAGAAAGGAAAGCAGAGATTTATATAATGACTTCCAACACATTCTGAATGAATGCTTGTAACAAAATGAAACAAAATGCATGCAGTACAAACAACAAGAAGATATTTAGGAAGTTAAAAAAATAAAAAATAAAAGAGGCAAAGCATAACTCAAAGCCAATGATTTCTAGCCTAATCAATGAGGCAGCTAAAATGAGAGTATAAAAGGAACATGAAATGCTTATAATTTCTGGAGTATAATCAACCTCATATTTCCCTACAGTCCATATCCAAGGTTGATCAGAAGCCCCCCTTCTCTCAATCTAAAGTTGCAACAACAAATCTGATGCAAAGTTATGAGGAACATCTGGACAAAGCCAAAAAAGTTTCTACTCATTGGAGGAATGGAAGAACTCAAAGCCTAAATAATAGCTACTACTCATTGGAGAAATCTTTTGTGCTATTGTGAAAAATAAATAAATAAATAAATAATCTCTAAACAGAAACAATAAATGAAAATAAGAAACAAAATTCAACATTTAGAAAACTAAACGAAGATGTTGGTGATGGCTTAATCTCAGGCGGACAAATCTGTAAAAACTGACATAACAATTGAATATGGATACAAGTCATCAAGAAACAAAACTTAAAACTTGACAAAACTCACATAAAACGCGATAGAAGTCCAAAATGAATTACTACAATCATCATGGCTAATAATAAACAACACAACAGGAAAACAAAAAAAGTAGCATTTCTGAAACAAAAACACACCTTGACCTTCTGGAGTATGACATCTGAGACAGAACAAGAACAACAAAACAAACCCAGATTAGTGTTACAAATAACACGTACAAGAACAAAAGGAAAAAAATCTAAGCGAATAAATTTACGCATAAAAAATGGAGAGAGAGAGAGAGAGAGATCGATGACGGTGAGGGTGAGGGTGAGGTCGGGAGAGAGACGATAGAGGTAGAGGGTGAGAGAGAGGCGGCGACTGAAACTGAGAGTGAAAGTGAGGTCGATTGAATTTGAGAGAAAGGGGAAGGAGCTAGATTTAGTTGTGGTTGTGATCTAGTGCAAGCGTCCTCAAGGTAAACTCTTCTTTTACCCAATAAACAGAAGCCACGTGGTATATTTATATATTATTAAATAATGCTCGATTCGGGTCAGGTTCACCGGTTCCAAATTTTTTTGAACCGAAGGTCGAACCGTTGACTTCTGTTCGGGTCAGGTCCAGTGTTGAATTTTTCAGTTTGGTCAAAAAAACCTCATTTTTCGATTCGGTTTGGGTTGGTTCGGTCGGTTCGTTCGGTTTTATCGGTTTTTATGCCCACCCCTACTTGTAACTATGAATATGGATATAGTTCAGAAGGAAGTCCAACCCGTCCCGAAAGCTGTGGAGGCAATCCTTAAGGAGTTTGCAGATGTCATGCTCAAGGAGTTGCCCAAAACCTTACCACCTAGGAGAGAGATGGATCATGTCATTGAGTTGGAACCGGGTGCCAAACCCCCTGCCAAAGCGCCGTATAGGATGGCACCTCCTGAGTTAAAGGAATTGAGGAAGCAGTTGATGACAAGACCCACCCCGAATTTCCTCGGAATCCGGGACGGACCCCGCCTAATTACCGACATCAACCTAATGCCGGGCCCACTTAGTAAAGATTGAGACTTTCTACCAAAAATTTGGCAGAGTCTCCCCTGTAAATTGAACATTTCCAAACTTCAACCTGTTCAAAATTTACAGTTAAATACAACCAACTGGCAGCATGCTTTACAAGCAACAAAACACTTTACAACAAAGGCCTCCGGCCTCACAAAATTAAACCCTCAGCGGGCGATACAGAGCATATCTAAGGAATTCAAAATACAACCGAAGTACCGTTTAACTGAAAGGAAAAACAAAGCACCAAGAGTCTTTACGAAGACTCGAGTTCCAAGATGCACCCGGTCCGGCTCAACTGCAACGCTCAGTCGCTACTGGCTGGGGGCGCAAAATAGAAAGTTGTGAGTGGACAAAAATCAAGTTCAGTTCAAAAGAAATCAAAGTAGTATAACCCCCACCTTTATCAAAAACATACAATGAAACCATAAGCATAACAGAACCATCAGAAACAAAAATATAAACATACACGAACACATATATACCGGATCTCAAATCCGTAATCCGTGAATAATGCTTCACGAAGCCCACCATTCAACTTAAGAGTCCCGAGAGATTAGACTCTCGTAAACGTACTCAAAAGTACGACCGGCGAGGAAGTATCCTTACCGAAAAATAGAACAAAGGAACATTCATATAAATAAATATATATAATATACATACATAATAATAATAATAATAATAATATGAGATAATCATAATAATAATAATAATAATAGTACATAAAGATAACCCATATTTAATTGTACCGGGGAAACAATCCAACCGGGGGACTGTTTGACTAGGCCACATGGCAGAGCCATTCCTCAATTCACCATGTGTCTAGGGAACGAGCCGTCCAACCGGGGGACTAACTCTCAGCCAGCACATACAGCCGACACAGTCAAAGCTTGTACGCCTGAAATACCAGTCCTACGCGCGCAGACTACCCCAAATCCAGGGTCCACAGCAACATCCCCTCAAGGATGCCCTGAGTTCTCATCGTAACCAAATTCAGATCAGGGGAGGTACATCAATTAGTGCTTAACGCACTCCAAATAATAGATCCAACATTACCTTTCCATAATTCATATTAACCACCAAGTACCCCATGCATAGCCGCATGTAAATATAGTTCTCAAAATTCAAATATCAATGTAAGTTTCATGAAAACCTCGAATTCCCATTCAAGCATATAAAATAATTACTAGATATAATAAAACGATATGCCATATGTCTATGAATAAAATCATACTGAGTTTCAAAAGAAAAGTCCACTCACAAGTAATCCCACACAGCTTGACCCTTAGAGGGTCCCGCCTGCTGCGTATGCTAGGTCGGAGTACCTGATTCAGAATACGAAACTGCAATGAATATCAAGCACTTCAAAACAGAACTTTGAAATAAAACCCTAGCTTCCCGGGAGTTCCTATAGGTTTTACGAGGTCTAGGATACACGTCCTGTAAGTTTGGTCCAGAATGGACGGTCGGATTGCTCACGATCGCACAATTGGACGGTTACTGAAACCCTCACCCTAGGGTTGGCATTTCCGGAGTATCCGGGACTCCGTTTTACGATCCGTCGAATCCTACACGATCTTATGGTTATCCAGAGGAACATACTTAAATTGGAAAACGATCCAACGGTCAGAACATATCGAACCCGAATAACACACAATATGCGATAATTCGTTCGATAGTCAAACGACCTCGGAATCGTGATCCGCGAAATCCTATGCTCTCGTGACAACGTAAGGATCACATTGGAACAATTTGAGCTCCACCACACCTGCCCACGCGCCGCCACACGCGCCGGCAGCAAGCGGGTGTGCAGAGAAATTCCGGCGACGGAAAATCTCCAAATCACAAGTCACCCTCCCGGCTACAGGTCCTACTCAACTAGGGGAGCACTTCATTCAACTATGGCGAAGCCCAAAACCACCGGGAACTGGCCGGAATTTCGAATTGAAAACCAGCCAAAACCCTACTTCGAAAATCACTTCCAACACCTCAAAATTGTTTCAATCCTAAGCAACAGGCAGCTAGAACAGATAAAACGAAGGAGAAAACCCACCAATTTTACCTGAAATGGACGGCGGAGGCGGCGGCGCAACGACCGGAAAAGTCCGGCTCGAACCAGTCGAAACTACCGGCTGTTTTCGAATTTTCCGACGATGAAAGGTATTGGGTCTTGACCAGGACGTCGAGACGAAGCTTTTGGGACCAGTCTCGAGAGCTGCGGTGGCCGGAAGTGGTGGCGGTGTGGAGAATTCTGTTCGGGTGAACAGTGACGAGAGAGAGAGTTCGCGGGAGAGAGAGAGAGAGATGAACTGAAATGAAAAACTGATTTTTTACAAATACCTTTTCGACTTATTTACGAGTTTGCCACCGAAAGAAATTTCATCGCCATCACTTCGTTAAAACTCCGATTCAAGCCTACCGCCTGTCTACGAATTCATCTCAGAACCACTTACACAACTAAACCACTTGTGGTCCCAAAATCCTTCCGGACAAGAAAATGACCAAAATACCCTACCCCAAGGGTAGTTTCGTAATTTCACAGTTAATTTAATTTTAACCGTTTAAATAGAGTCGGGGTGTTACAACCTACCCCCCTTATAAAAATTTCGTCCCCGAAATTTACATACCTGTCAATTGAAAAGATAAGGGTACTGGGTCCGCATTTGCGCCTCGGGTTCCCGAGTAGCCTCTTCAACAGTTTGACTTCTCCATAGTACCTTCACTACAGGAATAGATCTGGAGCGCAACCTTTGCTCCTTCCTATCCAAGATCTGTACAGGTTGCTCCTCATATGTCAAATCTTCACTCAACTCCATAGGTTGGTGCTCTAAAACATGAGAAGGATCAGGCATGTACTTCCTTAACATGGATACATGAAACACATCATGGATCCGAGATAGTTCTGTAGGTAAGGCAAGTCTATAAGCAACTGGTCCAATGCGTTCAGTAATCTCATAAGGTCCAATATAACGAGGGCTTAACTTCCCGCGTTTACCGAACCTCATCACACCCTTCCATGGAGATAACTTCAGAAACACCCAATCCCCCACTGCAAACTCAAGATCCTTGGACCTGTTGTCCGCATAACTCTTCTGTCGGTCTTGTGCGGTTTTCAACTTCTCTCTAATCATTTTCACCTTCTCAGTTGTGGCTCGGATACTATCTACCTTTTCCAACTTTCTTTCACCCACTTCATTCCAACAAACAGGAGTTCTACACATTCTTCCATACAGAGCCTCATACGGAGCCATCTCAATGCTCGAATGGTAACTGTTGTTATAAGCAAATTCCACCAATGCAAGGTGAGTATCCCAACTGTCTTTCAGTTGTAAAACACAAGACCTTAACATGTCTTCCAAAGTCTGAATGGTTCTTTCCGACTGCCCATCAGTCTGTGGGTGAAAAACAGTACTAAAATGTAACTTAGTACCCATAGCCTCATTTAAACACTTCCAGAAATGAGATGTGAACCTTGCATCCCTGTCCGATACAATAGACACAGGAGCTCCATGCAACCTCACGATCTCATCCACAAAAAGTTTTGCCAACCTTGACAAAGAATAGGTTTCCTTTATAGGTAGAAAATGGGCGGACTTGGTAAGTCGGTCAACTATCACCCAAATTCCATCATGCCCCTTTGAAGTACGTGGGAGTTTAAAAACGAAGTCCATTGTGATAAGCTCCCACTTCCATTCAGGGATCGGAAGTGGTTGCATGAGTCCGGACGGTTTCTGCCATTCCGCTTTCACTTGTTGACAAATCAGACACTTGCTCACATACTTAGCAATATCTCCCTTCATATGCGGCCACAAGTAGTACTCACGTAAAGTCCGATACATCTTAGTACTACCCGGATGCATAGAGTAAGTAGAACAGTGAGCGTCTTCCATGATTTCTCTTCTCAAGTCATCATGGTTCTTGGGTACACAAAGACGAGTTCCAGCCACCAAAGCTCCATCCTTCCTTATGGCATAATCCGTCCGTGTACCATTTTCTACTTCCGATCTTATCATACAAAGATTAGGATCTCCCAATTGTGCTGCAATCACCCGCTCAACCAGAATAGGCCTCACATGCACACTAGCAAGTATTCCTCCCCGAGGAGTCATCTCCAAATCCACACCATCCTTCCGCAGTTCTACCAACAACGGAAGATAGGCCATTCTGAGATGAGCTAGACTTCCACCAACATTCCGACTTAGTGCATCGGCTACCACATTAGCTCGACCGGGATGATACTCAATCGTACAGTCATAGTCTTTAATCAATTCCAGCCAACGCCGCTGTCTCATATTCAACTCCCTCTGAGTGAAAAAGTACTTGAGGCTCTTGTGATCGGTGAAAATCTGACACGTCTCACCATACAAATAATGCCGCCAAATTTTGAGAGCGAACACCACTGCGGCAAGTTCCAAGTCATGGACAGGATAATTCTGCTCATGCTTCTTGAGTTGCCTTGAGGCATAAGCAATTACCCGATCATGTTGCATCAGAACACATCCCAAGCCTTGTAAAGATGCGTCACTATAGATCACAAAGTTCCCCGAGTTATCCGGAAGAGCCAAAACAGGTGCGGTGGTTAACCGCTTTTTCAACTCCTGAAAACTCTGCTCGCACTCCTCCGTCCACTCAAACTTAACATCCTTCCTCGTCAACCGAGTAAGAGGTGCTGCTATCGAAGAGAACCCTTCTACAAACCGACGATAGTAGCCTGCTAACCCCAGGAAACTCCGTATCTCTGTTACACTTGTGGGTTGCACCCAATTCACGACTGCTTCTACCTTACGAGGGTCCACATAAATTCCTTCTGCTGATATCACATGTCCAAGGAAGTCCACTCTATCCAACCAAAATTGACATTTACTGAACTTGGCATAAAGCTGCTTCCTTCTCAAAGTTTTCAATATCAGCCTCAAATGTTTTTTATGACCCTCCAAAGTTCGGGAATAAACTAGGATGTCGTCTATGAACACAATCACAAAGTGATCCAAATAAGGTCGGAACACTCTGTTCATGAGATCCATAAACGCTGCTGGAGCATTTGTCAATCCGAAAGGCATCACCAAGAACTCGTAATGGCCGTAACGAGTTCTGAATGCTGTCTTGGGAATATCATCTTCCCGTACTCTGAGTTGATGATATCCCGATCTCAGATCAATCTTGGAAAAGTACTTGGCACCCTTCAACTGATCAAACAAGTCGTCAATTCGAGGCAAAGGATATCGATTACGCACTGTCACCTTGTTCAACTGCCTGTAATCAATACAAAGCCTCATGCTTCCATCCTTCTTCTTCACAAATAATACCGTGCACCCCAAGGGGAAACACTAGGTCGAATGAACCCAAGATCCACCAACTCCTGCAATTGCGTCTTCAACTCACGCAACTCTGCTGGTGCCATTCTATAAGGAGCTTGATGAATTGGATTCGTTCCTGGAAGAAGTTCAATAGTAAATTCGGTTTCTCTCTGGGGAGGCAAACCAGGAAGATTATCAGGAAAGACATCTGAAAATTCACAAACCACAGGAATATCTTCCAGATTCAAAGTGGACCCCTGAGTATCAATGATATGAGCTAAGTAACCCACACAACCCTTCTTGAGTAACCGTTTTGCCCTTATGGCGGAAATAAGACAAGATGAGAGAACTCTACGCTCTCCTTGGAATATTGCTTCAGGTTGTCCAGGACTTCTGAACACAACCTCTTTCCGAAAACAATCTACCGACGCACGATGCTTTTCCAGCCAATCCATTCCCAAGATAATGTCAAGGTCAACTAATTCCAAGGGAATCAAATCAGCTTCCAACATGGCATCACCCACTTGGACATAACAATCCTTGAAAACCATGTCCGCAAACAAAACATCGCCCGTAGGTAATGAGATACTCAAATTCTCTGCCATGGGTGTCGATCTAACATTGGCATAAGGTAAGAAACTATAGGCGATAAAAGAATGGGTGGCCCCGGGATCTATCAAAACACGAGCAAAGTAACCAAAAATAGGGATCATACCAGTGATAACATCGGGTGTAGCCTGCGCCTCTTGCTGTGTCATCGAGAATACACGGGCTTGTGTAGTAGAGCGTCCAGACTAACCCCTCTGACCCCTACCGCCTCTGCCCCGAAAAGTGGACTGCACTCTACTACTCGACGACGAACCCGCTGCAGACGACGATGCACCACTCTGTGTCTGACCCTGAGCTTTGCTGCCTTGCCCCCGCTGGGCCCCAGTCTACTTTGCAGCAGTACTACCAACAGCAAGGGGGCACTCACTCTTATAGTGCCCTACCTGCCCACACTGGAAACAAGTCACTCCGCTCCTTTGACCAGAGCCACTCGCCTGCCTATGGTTTGGGCAATCCTTCCGCACATGTCCAGCTTGCCCACAACTATAACAAGTTACAGTAAATGGCCTTTGAGGATCCCTGGCGGTGCTGCCCATGGATTGTTGTCCCGAGGACTGGCTCCAGAATGGTCGAGAGCCAGAACCCCCACTGCCAGAACCGGTCCCATGTCCTCCGGACCAACCACTGCTTGCAGAACTAGAGCTGGATCCACCTCTCTTTGATGGACCTTGACTGGGCCCACCAAAACCAAATGAGTCTCTGCGACGCCTACCAATACCTGCACCCAGACTGTACGCCTTCGCCACCCTGTCTGCTGCTTGGGCCAAGGCTCTCATGGTAGGATACGTCGTAGCAGTGACCACCGCCTGAATATCTAGCCACAGACCCTGTTCAAAACGAAGGCACTTATCTGCTTCTGTGGTTACCAACTCAGGTGCAAACCGGGACAGCTCGTTAAATTTGTGCTCATACTCGAACACTGACATGGAACCCTGCCTCAGGTGCAGAAACTCAGCCTTCTTCGTAGTCTTGTAAGTATGCGGATAAAACTGATCAAAGAATGCCCTTTGGAACTCTTCCCAAGTAAAGACAGCAGGGTTTGCATACCCTCTTCGAACTGTCTTCCACCAATGGTATGCATTCCCCTTTAACAGAAAGGTAGCCAAGCGAACCTTATCTCCATCAGGACACTGGAGAACTTCAAATATCCGCTCGACATCTGTAAGCCAAGCATCAGCTTCAGCAGGATCAATACCACCATAAAATTCTTTTGCTCCCAGGTCCTTTACCCTCTTTATGTCCAAACCTTCAACATTTCGTCTCCCATGTAAGGCATTAGACATAGTGCGGGTGAACCGAGATAAGAGATGTCGCAAGCCGGGCTCATTTCCTCCATCATGCTCCTCGGCAGGTGGAGATGGTGAAGATGGAGGTGAAGGAGGTGGAGAGGGTAGTGGAGGGGAAGGTGGAGTATTTGCTCCCCGTCTCGGAACACGACCACCCCTCGTTCTAGGACGCTGAGGATGCATGATTCTACACAAAGGAAACCATAGAATCATTAGCTTCAACAATGCAGCAAAAGCGCAAAGGTCAAAGGAAAATGAACCTAATGCTCTGATACCAAGCTGACAAGACCCGCCCCGAATTTCCTCGAAATCCGGGAGGGACCCCGCCAAATTACCGACATCAACCTAATGCCGGGCCCACTTAGTAAAGATTGAGACTTTCTACCAAAAATTTGGCAGAATCTCCCCTGTAAATTGAACATTTCCAAACTTCAACCTGTTCAAATTTACAGTTAAATACAACCAACTGGCAGCATGCTTTACAAGCAACAAAACACTTTACAACAAAGGCCTCCGGCCTCACAAAATTAAACCCTCAGCGGGCGATACAGAGCATATCTAAGGAATTCAAAATACAACCGAAGTACCGTTTAACTGAAAGGAAAAACAAAGCACCAAGAGTCTTTACGAAGACTCGAGTTCCAAGATGCACCCGGTCCGGCTCAACTGCAACGCTCAGTCGCTACTGGCTGGGGGCGCAAAATAGAAAGTTGTGAGTGGACAAAAATCAAGTTCAGTTCAAAAGAAATCAAAGTAGTATAACCCCCACCTTTATCAAAAACATACAATGAAACCATAAGCATAACAGAACCATCAGAAACAAAAAATATAAACATACACGAACACATATATACCGGATCTCAAATCCGTAATCCGTGAATAATGCTTCACGAAGCCCACCATTCAACTTAAGAGTCCCGAGAGATTAGACTCTCGTAAACGTACTCAAAAGTACGACCGGCGAGGAAGTATCCTTACCGAAAAATAGAACAAAGGAACATTCATATAAATAAATATATATATATACATACATACATAATAATAATAATAATAATAATAATAATATGAGATAATCATAATAATAATAATAATAGTAGTACATAAAGATAACCCATATTTAATTGTACCGGGGAAACAATCCAACCGGGGGACTGTTTGACTAGGCCACATGGCAGAGCCATTCCTCAATTCACCATGTGTCTAGGGAACGAGCCGTCCAACCGGGGGACTAACTCTCAGCCAACACATACAGCCGACACAGTCAAAGCTTGTACGCCTGAAATACCAGTCCTACGCGCGCAGACTACCCCAAATCCAGGGTCCACAGCAACATCCCCTCAAGGATGCCCTGAGTTCTCATCGTAACCAAATTCAGATCAGGGGAGGTACATAAATTAGTGCTTAACGCACTCCAAATAATAGATCCAACATTACCTTTCCATAATTCATATTAACCACCAAGTACCCCATGCATAGCCGCATGTAAATATAGCTTCTCAAAATTCAAATATCAATGTAAGTTTCATGAAAACCTCGAATTCCCATTCAAGCATATAAAAATAATTACTAGATATAATAAAACGATATGCCATATTTCTATGAATAAAATCATACTGAGTTTCAAAAGAAAAGTCCACTCACAAGTAATCCCACACAGCTTGACCCTTAGAGGGTCCCGCCTGCTGCGTATGCTGGGTCGGAGTACCTGATTCAGAATACGAAAATGCGATGAATATCAAGCACTTCAAAACAGAACTTTGAAATAAAACCCTAGCTTCCCGGGAGTTCCTATAGGTTTTACGAGGTCTAGGATACACGTCCTGTAAGTTTGGTCCAGAATGGACGGTCGGATTGCTCACGATCGCACAATTGGACGGTTACTGAAACCCTCACCCTAGGGTTGGCATTTTCGGAGTATCCGGGACTCCGTTTTACGATCCGTCGAATCCTACACGATCTTATGGTTATCCAGAGGAACATACTTAAATTGGAAAACGATCCAACGGTCAGAACATATCGAACCCGAATAACGCACAATATGCGATAATTCGTTCGATAGTCAAACGACCTCGGAATCGTGATCCGCGAAATCCTATGCGCTCGTGACAACGTAAGGATCACATTGGAACAGTTTGCAGCTCCACCACACTTGCCCACGCGCCGCCACACTCGCCGGCAGCAAGCGGGTGTGCAGAGAAATTCCGGCGACGGAAAATCTCCAAATCACAAGTCACCCTCCTGGCTACAGGTCCTACTCAACTAGGGGAGCACTTCATTCAACTATGGCGAAGCCCAAAACCACCGGGAACTGGCCGGAATTTCGAATTGAAAACCGAGCCAAAACCCTACTTCGAAAATCACTTCCAACACCTCAAAATTGTTTCAATCCTAAGCAACAGGCAGCTAGAACAGATAAAACGAAGGAGAAACCCCACCAATTTTACCTGAAATGGACGGCGGAGGCGGCGGCGCAACGACCGGAAAAGTCCGGCTCGAACCAATCGAAACTGCCGGCTGTTTTCGAATTTTCCGACGACGAAAGCTATTGGGTCTTGACCAGGACGTCGAGACGAAGCTTTTGGGACCAGTCTCGAGAGCTGCGGTGGCCGGAAGTGGTGGCGGTGTGGAGAATTCTGTTCGGGTGAACAGTGACGAGAGAGAGAGTTCGCGGGAGAGAGAAAGAGATGAACTGAAATGAAAAAACTGATTTTTTACAAATACCTTTTCGACTTATTTACGAGTTTGCCACCGAAAGAAATTTCATCGCCATCACTTCGTTAAAACTCCGATTCAAGCCTACCGCCTGTCTACGAATTCATCTCAGAACCACTTACACAACTAAACCACTTGTGGTCCCAAAATCCTTCCGGACAAGAAAATGACCAAAATACCCTATCCCAAGGGTAGTTTCGTAATTTCACAGTTAATTTAATTTTAACCGTTTAAATAGAGTCGGGGTGTTACAGTTGAAGCAGTTGTTGGACGCTAGGTACATCCAACCGTCCAAGGCCCCTTATGGTGCCCCAGTTCTTTTTCAGAAGAAGAGAGAAGGGACACTGAGATTGTGCATTGACTACAGGGCGCTAAACAAGGTGACCATCAAAAACAAGTATCCAATCCCTTTGATTGCAGATTTGTTTGATCAGTTGGGAGGAGCTAGGTACTTCACCAAGTTGGACCTGCACTCAGGATACTATCAAGTGAGGATCGCACCGGGAGATGAACCAAAGACTGCATGTGTGACGAGATATGGGTCTTACGAGTTCCTTGTCATGCCGTTCGGCTTGACTAACGCCCCTGCAACCTTTTGCACTCTTATGAACAAGGTATTCCATCCTTTCTTGAACAAGTTTGTTGTGGTTTACATCGATGATATTGTGGTGTACAGCAATTCCCAAGAGGAGCATCTTGAGCACTTGCAGAAAGTCTTCCAAGTTCTGAGGGAGAACAAGCTATATGTGAAGAGGGAGAAGTGTTCGTTTGTCCAAGAAGAGATAGAGTTCCTTGGTCACAAGATACGGGGAGGACAATTGCTCATGGAGGAGGGCAAGGTGCAAGCCATTCAAGAATGGGAGCCACCAACCAAGGTACCTAAGTTGCGGTCTTTCCTTGGGTTGGTCAACTACTATCGCAGGTTCATCAAGGGATATTCAGCCATTGCCGCCCCCTTGATGGATTTGCTTAAGAAGAACAAGGCGTGGGAGTGAATGCCCCGATGCCAGCATGCCTTCGATGAGTTGAAGATGGCACTTATGGAGGAACTCGTGTTGAGACTTCCTAATCTTAGCAAACCGTTTGAGGTACACACTGATGCATTAGATTTTGCTATTGGTGGTGTACTCATGCAGGATGGACACCCATTGGCTTTTGAGAGTCGGAAGCTCAATGACACAGAGCAGAGGTATACCGTTCAAGAGAAGGAGATGACAGCCGTAGTGCATTGCTTGCGGACTTGGAGGCACTACTTGTTAGGTTCTCAGTTCGTGGTCAAGACTGGCAACATTGCCACAAGCTACTTTCAGTCTCAACAGAAGTTGTCACCCAAGTAGGCTAGGTGGCAAGACTTCTTGGCAGAGTTCGACTACAAACTGGAGTACAAGCAAGGGAAGACGAATGTCGTTGCCGATGCCCTAAGCAGGAAGGCCGCACTTGCAGCTGTTGTACAACCCCAGAGTTCTCTCATGCAGAGGATACGAGAGGGCTTGTTGCATGATCCCCAAGCTAAAAGTCTGTTGGAGTTTGTTAAAGATGGGAAGACAATGAGATTTTGGCTCGACGATGGCATTCTTTATGCAACAGGGAAGAGGATCTATGTTCCAAGGTGGGACAATCTGAGGCGAGAGCTACTGAAGGAGTGTCATGACTCGAAATGGGTGGGACATCCAGGCACTCATCGGACGTTAGCCTTGATGAGTGAAGCTTACTATTGGCCACAGATGCAGAAGGATGTAGACTCGTTCGTGCGGACTTGCCTTGTATGCCAACAAGACAAGACATTGCAGAAGCAGCCCGGTGGGTTGCTACAGCCACTTCCTATTCCAGCCAGACCATGGGAGAGTTTGTCCGTGGACTTCATTGTGAGTCTACCCAAGTCAGAAAGGTTTGGCTCAATTTTGATGGTGGTCGACAGGTTCACTAAGTATGCTACCTTCATCCCTGCACCAGCGGACTGCAATGCGGAGGAAGCTGCATGCTTGTTTTTGAAGCATGTGGTGAAGTATTGGGGAATTCCCAAGAGTATTATCAGTGATCGCGACACTCATTTTACTGGTAAACTTTGGACGGAGCTCTTCAGGCTACTTAGGTCACAGTTGAACTTCTCTACCAGCTTTCACCCACAGACAGATGGTCAGACGGAACGGGTGAATGCATTGTTGGAGCTATACTTGAGGCACTATGTGAGTGCCAACCAGCGAGATTGGGCAACGTTGTTGGATGTTGCTCAGTTCTCATACAACTTGCAGCGGTCGGAGTCAACAGGGTCAAGTCTTTTCGAGTTGGCAACAGGACAACAACCTATGACAACAACCTATGACACCAAACACAGTGGTGTCAGGCTACACGGGGAGTAGCCCAGCTGCATACAAGACAGCGAAGGAGTGGCAGGTGACTAATGAGTTGGCTCGGGCTCAATTGGAGAAGGCAACTCGGAAGATGAAGAAATGGGCGGATAAGCATAGGCGAGATGTTGTGTTCCAACCAGGTGATATGGTCTTTGTGAAGCTCAACCTCTCTCAACACAAGTCCACTAAAAGTTACACAAGGCGTTGTTGAGGAGATATGAGGGCCCATTTCCTATCATTCGATCAGTGGGAAGAGATGCTTACCTTGTGGAACTACCACCTCGATTGAAGATTCATCCGATGTTCCATGTGAGCAATCTCAAGCCCTACCATGCCGACCCCGAGGAGCCAAGTCATGGAGAGTCTCAATGAGCTCCACCTTTGATGGTGACTTCATTTGACAAGGAGGTTGAGTGCATCATGGCCAAGCGAGAGGTGCGACGCAAGGGTGTACCAAGGTACTTTGAGTACTTTGTCAAATGGAAGGGCCTGCCAAAGTCCGAAGGCAACTGGGAGGAAGAAGTCTTTGTGGAAGTACAAAGACATCATCGAAGCATTCGAATAAGAAGGATCTACCACGGCGACGAGGACGTCACCGGATTAGGTGGGGAAGAATGTCACGGCCCACATGTTCAAGGCCCAACCCGTTGGATTGATCATGCTAGACCTCTTAGCCCACATGTCCAGATTCATTGTACAGTAGTTGGTAGACTACAGTTGGTCACAGTAGTTGGTAGATGTTGGTAGGTGACATTGTATCTTAGCCACCTACTGTGGTGGTAGGTGGGATAGGAACAATATATAAGGGGGATGACACATTGTGTATCCTTACCTCACAACCTGTAAAGCATTTGAGTAGCAATACAAGCAGATATTCTCCCAAACATTCTTTAGCATTCTTTTGCGTTCTTGCTCTTGCGATTGTTCTTTGCTTGGTTTGATCTTGTGTTGTAGGAAGGAGGCTAACTTAGCTTGTTCGAGAGGCGATCAAGTCTAAGGCCGCACGGAAGGAAGACTCCAAAAAAGTCATCCCATGACACTTGGCACTTGATTCCGCTTCCTCTTCTCGTGTCTCTTCACTCACATCATCCTTAGTTTCTACATGGTCCAATTTGCCCCTTCCCTTGCAACCACTACTCCTCTTCATTTTTCTATATCTCCATCCTCCCATGGTTCCCTAACTAATGTGCATGGTCTACTGCCTCCAACCAAAGTTCCACTCCCATAAGCAGATCCTCACCTAGTGTTTCTGGCCACTCACTGGATGCTCCTCATTCTCCCCCACATGCTACTACATGTGCTCCCTCCCCTTCTATCAGAGTGCCCTCACCGACTGTTGTCTCTTCATCCCCACCCCCACCACCTCCTCCTCCCAAACCCCACACACGACTCATCCCATGACAACATGCTCCAAAAATAACATCTTCAAACCCAAACAAATCCACCACACTACAACCCATCTCCTTCCCTCCCTCATCGAGCCCACATGTGTGTTTCAAGCCATTCGTGACCACAATTGGCGTACGGCAATGTCCGATGAAATCAATGCCTTTCTTCGTAATGGGACTTGGGAGTTGGTCTCTTCTCAGCCCAATCAAAATATTGTGGGTTGATGCGTCTTTCGAATCAAATGCAATCCTAATGGAACCCTTGCCCGCGATAAAGCTCGCCTTGTTGCCAAGGAGTTTCACTGACCTGGGGTTGATTACCACGACACTTTTAGCCCAATCATCAAGCCCACAACCATTTGCCTTATTTTATCAATTGCCCTTAGACATGGATGGTTTGTTCATCAACTGAATGTTAACAATGCATTTCTACATGGTACTCAACCTCCTTGCTTCATTGATCATTCTAGGCCTTCTCATGTTTGTTGCCTTCACAAGGCCATTTATGGCCTCAAACAAGCACCTCGTGCTTGGTACACGGAGCTTAAACAATTTCTTATTTCTTTTGTCTTTCACAATTCCAAGTCTAATGCCTCATTGTTTATTTACAATACTATTAATGTCACCATTTATTTTCTTGTGTAAGTTGATGATCTTATTGTGACAGGTAACAATCCATCATTCATTGCCCACTTTATTCGTGCACTGTCCATCAAATTCTTAGTCAAAGACATGGTTGCACTTCATTATTTTCTTGGTGTGGAGGTACTTTCAACCAACACAAGCCTGTTTCTCACTCAACATAAGTACATTCGTGATCTTCTTGATCGAACCAACATGTCTGGACCAAAAGAAACTCACACTCCCATGGCCACATCTCAGTCTCTCTGTCTTGCTTATGGTTTCTCTTCAATTTATGTCTCCTTTACAGTTAACAAATTGGCTCAATTCATGCACTGCCCCTCTGAAACACACTGAGCTATCGCCAAACGTCTCCTCTGCTATCTCAAAAATACACTGCATCATGGCCTTCTTCTTCGCCGCAATCAACCACTAAATCTTCATGCCTTCTCTAATTCTGATTGGGCAGGCAATCGAGATTATCACACTTCCACCACTGCTTACATTGTCTATCTTGGCAACAATACCATCTCTTGGTGTTCCCAAAAACAAAAGACGATTGATCACTCCTCCACTGAGGCTGAGTATCGAGCCATTGCCTCTACAACTGCTGAACTCACCTGGATATCCTCTCTGCTCACTGAACTTGGCATCACCATGTCTCAGCCTGACTTTATATTGTGACAACATGGGTGCCACCTATCTTTGTGCCAATCCAGTTTTCCACTCTCGTATGAAACATATTGCACTCAATTCCATTTTGTTCACGAAAAAGTTAGAAGTGGCGCTCTTCATGTTTCTCATATCTCCACCCATGACCAACTGGTTGACCTTCTCACCAAATCGGTAAGTCGATCCTGGTTTTGCCTTCTTCGATCCAAGATTGGTATCTCCTATGGGAGTACCATCTTGCGGGGCACATAAGATCCAATCACGCCATTCAACCACAAGCAGATCCTAGCAATCAAGATAGTTGACTTCTAATGATTTAGGATCTTGATTTTACATTGTTGTAATTGCTTCCATTTTGCCTAGTGTTTAGGAATTCATTCATTTGTTTCTGTAAAAGGTTCTCCTAGCCTCTGTATATATTCCTTTATCAAATCAATTGAAAATACACACTTTGACGATCCCTATGTAGGCTTCTCATGCTTCTCGTCTATGCAACTCCAGCCCCCTCCCAAAATGTTGATGCTCGTTTACTTGTTCTTTTTGTTTTTGTCTAACTTATATAGGCCTCTATATTGCTAGTTCCATCATGAAAACAAAGCAAAAAAAAAAAAAAAAAAAAAAAAAAAAATTTATTAGTTAACAATAACATATAGATTTCTCTTGATTTCTCCCACACCCTATTTATCATACATGATCCCATGCTATATATATAACTATAAGCTTTGTTATCTCACTTGAAGTGATACTCCTTTTGTTTGCCTCACCTTTACTTCGTTCAATAATTTTTTTTTTTTTTTTTTTTTTTTTTTTTTTTTTTTCTAATGTATTATTATAATCAGTGAGCTCATCGTCTTTTGCTTTGGAAATACATTTCGTTTTGTCATGGTAAGTACAATTTATTGCTACGCCACTAAGGCGACTATATATATGATCTTTTATTTTTATGATATTTACTAACCTCTTGGAATGTGTACTTGAGTGATAGTATTTACAGGGCTGATCTTGACTGCAAAATTTAAATTGGGGGTCCTCACATGGAGAAATTATAGAATAGGACTGTGCCACCATGTCAACTTGTGATACTACCATTCAAAATTTGCCACTTGTCATTTTTCAAAGTAAGTAAGTTTTTTTTTACAGTTGGATAAGAAACCCATTATTATTTTGGGATATTCACTATTATACCCAATATAAAGACCCAAATTATAAAAATACCCCATATGAAATAGACTTTATAAAACACCCAAAGCCCATTTACAACATAACAAAGAGGCTTTTATCTTCTTATAAATTACAAAACTGCCATCAATTTCTTAAAACAAGCCCAACCCCAAAATCTCATAAAAATACTCAAAACACTCAATAGGGCATCAAAGTAATTTAATAATTAATATTAAATTCAATAAGGCCATTTGTCATTTTTTGGGTTTTTTTTTTGTTTGTTTATAGAAATTCAATGATGTAGGGTTTATTTATAATATTAGTGCTAAGAATGAGTATATCATTAAATATCATATTTTAAGAAAATAAGAAAGTAAAAAATCAGGAAAGAGACATAACCACCCACCCCCGACCCATTCTCTTACCCTGCGCAGCCTCCCCTCTCTCTCTCTCTCTCTCTCTCTCTCTCTCTCTCTCTCTCTCTCTCTCTCTCTCTCTCTCTATGTGTCTCTGTCGCCTTCTCACGCAATTCAACAAATTAACCATACCCCAATCCTTGTTTCTCAGCCTTTTTGTGGCTACCAAAGACCCATCTATTCATTTGTTGATAGATGATATCTGAAAAAGGTTGAGGGGAGAGATGGGTGTTAATGGTAATTGAATAAAATTGGACCCATTTTCAATGCTTATGTTATCTTGCAGGTGGTATTCCATGGATTCAAGACACCTTGCAGTTTTAGAGAGACAGATATGAGAGGCAGGGGCAGTAGTGCTGGGTAAGGGGTTGGGTCGGGTGTGAGGTGGTTTCTGGAGTCTTCTTGGTCCTTTTCTGTCTTTTTCGATTAATTTTTTTTTAGTTTTATTATGAATATAAAAAGAAGTTTTAAATCCAACTGTAAAAACTTATATTTTTTAATATAAAAAAATGACACATGACAAATTTTAAATGGGAGTATCACAAGTTGACATAGTGATACAGTTCTATTCTATAATTTCTCCCTCACATGGTCTCACACACCCAAAAAAAAAAAAAAAAAAAAAAAAAAAAAAAAAAAAAAATAAACAAAAATTATAAAAAAAAAAATAATGTGTGGTTTAAAATAAAAAAAAACAATTCATTCTCAAAAGTAATTAACACAATTTTTTTTTCAAGAAAATATGCCTTGTGATGAATGGTGTGTGTAGTGTGTGTGTAAGTTGTGTCATTAAGGTCATTTTATGAAAAAAGAATTTTATTTCAAAAAAAGAAGTAAAAAAGGAACCAATGGAGCACACAAGTGACTCAAACCTAAACTTATAATGAAATTCAAAGTGCAAGAACCAACTTCACTAGAGCCACAATTGTTTAAATATGTTGTATGCTTACGTGCGTGTGTGTGTATATATATATATATATTTCGTTCAAGGATTCCTCAAATAAGATTATTTGAGGAACACTCTTATAGAACCCACTCCGCATTGTATTTCACTAATCCAAACGTCTATTTTGCAAATATTCATTCAAATATCATCTCTACAAAAAAAAATCACTTGAATTCAATATCATTTGACCATTTAATTAAAATATTGAAATTTAAGTACTTTCTTGACGCCACCGTGTTCATTGATTTTCTTAGTCTAAATTAAATGCCTTAATTATTTTCAATTTGTGTAATTTTTTTGCAAGGATGATCTATGAATGAAGACTTTAAAAATAAACAGTTTGGATTGGGAAAAAAATTCATAGGGTACCCTAAAGGATGTCTCTCAAATAAAATTATTTCAGGGATTCCTCAATGGAATGGGATTGTATGTATACATGTGAAAAAATTTGGGGGCCCTCCAAAACTGAGGATCATGTGCAATGACACTGTACTTGCACTATGTTAGGACCGCCCCTACTGATTTACATTATTTTGATGAAAATTTCTTTATTTATGTATTTATTTTTTTTAAGCGATTTAACTCAAAAACAAAATTAAAAAAAGTTATAATCCTAACCCACTTTCACACCTGCGTTCATCATTCGCGGTAACCTAAAAAGACTAACCCGAAGGGCTTTGGGAAAAGTTTATTCAAATTCTCTGACTCCAAAGAAAAAGCAAAGTACTAGTAACTTTCCCAAAAATAATCGCATACGCATATAAATTCGCATTGGCTATGGTAACAAAATACAGTAACTTACCCAAAAATAATCCACCTATCTAGTAATATTTTATCTTTGGATCACTAATAGGAAAATTTAATACTAAAACGTTACGTCTTCTTAAAAAAGTAAATAAAAAAATGAAAACCTTCCAATACACATAATACTATCTTACCCAAAATAATTACCGTATTAATTTTTATTGTGCATGCTTCGACACAAAGTAAATTGCCCATGACTGACCTTTTTAAGTCCGTTCTTAACTTTTCCTCTTGTTGACCACTCTCGCACACTATATATAGGCCGACCCTCTCAAAGGGGGCTCTTCAAAATTTGTTCATGTGTATATATTGAATATAGTGAGCGGTGTTGCACGGCCAAAAGAAAATTCCTCCTCAGTCAAAAGTTAAACACAAGGTACGGCTCCTTTTATTTATTTTTGTATAATTTAAACTACGAGGAAGAAGATTCAAATTCATGGCAGAGTGGAGAGCACATCTTGCTCTAGTCAACTTGATTAAGCTCATATCTGTGGTACAACCGCTTAATTAATTTCGATTACAACTTGACTATGCCTTATGCTATATACATCTACTTATAATGTTTCTTTCTGTTAATTAGTATGTATATCTAAAGGTAAAGTACAAACTTTATGGATGGATAATTCCTTCTTTTTTTATCTTTTCTAATAACGCTGAAGTAAGTATATTTCATGTCAGATGTTGAAGCTAGGGAATTACCAACAAGGTATAATGGAGGGTCATCCTCCTGTTGGCAGTAAGAACAAGGGCAAGGAAATCAAGATCGAGAGGGGCATGGAGAAGCAGCAGCAAACTAGAAGAAAAATCAAGATCAGCAGGAGGAGGAAGCAGTACAAAATTAAGATGGCCAATGATGATGAGGCGGGCCCATCTAGTCGTTATAATCCAATATTAGAGTTTAAGCAACTTTTGCCACATCGCCAAGAAATTGATGAGCTTCTAACCGGAAAAGAAGTTTATGAACTTTATTCTCATCTCCTAGGTCCATGCATGGGTGACAAGTCATCACTTACCAGTTCTTCAGAAGATTATCTCAGATTGAAGACTCCATGAATAGGTTTAAGCTTTATTTAAATGTGTTAGGTCAAATTATGGTATTATATTTAGCCCGGATCATCATATGTACTGGTTTTGTCTTTTATGAAACCTCATCACAATAACTATTTCTTTCTTTGTTTGAGCATAACTTGATTGTTAATTTTTTTTTTTTTTTTTTTTTTTTTTTTTTTTTTTATTTTTTTTTTTTTTGAAAGAAGTTTCAAGTTTGAATGCCCCCAATGATAAATGATAAATAAAGGATTTTCTTTCAAGCTAGATTATATCTAAATCAAACTTTTGCCTTTTTTTTACCATCTACTAATTGCTTTGTTAAATGCATATGCAAATATGTGAAATTTTTTCTTTAGCCAAACAATAGATATCATTGATAAAAGCCGAAAGGCTCGATTACAATACCCAACACATGAAATCAATCACTTGAATTTATACTTAGACCCAACACAGGTTTCAATGGGGTACAAAAGATAATCATGAATATGGTACTCCCTCAATCACAGCCCTGAAGGGCTCGAATCTAGCAATGAACCAAAGTTGCTAGAGTAAAGCCAAGTGAAATACGTGAAATCTTAAATAGTATAGTTTTCTTTTTGACAAAAATCATAATATCGACATAAACATTAGTTCTAAACAGTTTTAAAAAAATTAGTTGATGTAAATATCATTAATTATGTCGATGTTCACTTGGGGTCATTAGTTAAGATCCTAAACAATGTGAAAAGGGAAACTTGGGAGAAGCTTCCAAGTAACCCTAACTCTATATACAAGAGTCTAAATAGAAGAAAAACACACCCTAATAAATTATGTCATCTTTCACTCTGTTCATCATTTTGTATTAGCACGATCAGTAAAATTTCTTTCTTTTAATTTGCCTCACCCATCGTTCATTATGCTCATATTAGAGGATCTATTTCTTATTAATAAATCTGAAATGTGAATTTTTTTTTTCTTTTGTCTTTTGGTTGAATGTTGACGCTTCCGTCAATCCGAATGCACAACACATGCCTTGACAGTTCGAATGAAAATTGATATTACCAGCATGAGTTACTATGCTACTATGCTTAACATACAAACAACTCTTATTACAGGTCTAAATAGTAAATTTTCTTGGGTGATTCGCAAAAGAAAAGAAAATAATTAAGAACCTTTTGTTAAGAGAGCATTCTTACATGCCCCCTCATGTCAGCAATTGTGGTGGAGTTTATGATAAACATGGTTGTGAGGGCAAAGTGAGACTCAAAACGTCGACAAAATACTTGCTGCCCTAGTTGTAATAATACTAAGTCATGATAAGAACATTAATTTCAATTGTCCTCGTCGTCTTTGCAAATCTCTTGAAAAATTGGGAGACATCCAGAAGGGCATGCATGTTTCTTCTAAAGCTGGTAAACGGCTAGTCGTCCTTGAGCCTGCGTGTTGAGGAAGACCTTCAGTTGCTTGGCCTCCTGGCAAAACTTGCCATATCTCTTTATCACTAGTATATGGGAGTGGTCAAAACAAAGAAAGTAATTACAGAGGATGGGAGTGGACTTAAAGCAAGCAAGGTAAGTTTTGGGCAAGTCAACCATGAGTCAAAACGTGCACTCCAAATATATTATATATATTTCATGATGGGAGTGGTATAAAAACGGTGGGCATATTTGGAAATTAAGGTTTAGTATTAGCTTGTGGTATAAGTGAAGTGATCGAAAGATGAACATCATTATTTAGATAGGGAAATGGGTTTTGGGTAAGTTAACATTCTCTATTATTAGAATGTGAATAATGTGAATAAACTTTGCCTTGTTTTTTATTTTCGGAAATTGTTTTTGGGTAAGTTAATATTGTCTAACACCGGAGATTTGAGTGAAAATACTATCTTTTTTATTTTAGTGTTATTTTTTTTCGTAAAATAAATTTCCACAATTTTACACCTAAACCTATTGGCTCCAGAATCCTGAATCTGCCACTAATCCCACACAAAATTTTCTCCCGATAATGTGAAGAAAAGCAAAGTAGGGCATCTCGGAGAAAAGCAATTTAAATTGTACTTTTCTATTCATTATTTGCATTTATAATGTTTTCTTCTCCCAATGCAGCACAATAATATCAAGGCTTAATTATGTACATGCCCCCTGTGGTTTTACGTTTTTCTCAGATTACCACCTGTGGTGGGAAAACGTCTCAAAGTACCCCCCAACGTATAAATAACCGTCTCAATTTACCCCATCCGTCAAATTTCTTGACGGTCCGTTACGAACAGTGGGCCCCACTTCGTTTTAACCTTTAAGCTGTTCGAATAAGGGTTTCTCAGTTTGTAACAAAGGGGAAATTGGGTTTAGGGTTCATTGGAGAAGAGGGTTGTTGTTAAAATCTGAGGGTTCCTTCGATTTTGGGAGAAATTGGAGAAGAAATCATTCTTTGTAAAACTCTGAGGTGGAGTTTGAAATTGGAAGATTGTGGAGTAGAAGATTTGGGATGATGGAAACAGGAGAGAAGCAAGGAGAAGGAGGGCATGGCCAATGGTGTCATTGTGGGAAGTTAGCACGGATGCAGACTTCTTGGACCAGTTCAAACCCAGGGCGAAGATTTCTAGTCTGCCCAAAGTCAAAGGTAAGCATGTTTAAGATAAAATTTTCAGTCATTATTTTGGGCATCACAAATTGATAGAGTTGTTAGTGATGAAATTGTCAGTGATTGATGAAATTTTCAGTCATTTTACCACCCAAATTTTCAGTCATTGTTCTTGGTTGATACAGGGAAGGGGAGAAAAAGGATGTAGGTTTTTTCAGTGGTTTGATGCAGAAATGTGTGAGCGTTCAAAATCGTTGATACCTGGTTTGCTGAGGAAGATTGATAGGGTGGAGAAGGAAAATGCAAATATTCGAGCAAAGTCAAAAATATTGTGGGCTGCTATGTTGCTTTCGTGGTTGGTGGTGTTTGCCATGAAGATGAATTAGGCACTTTGGCAGTAGTTCATTGGGCATTGTAATTTGATACCTGATGTTAATGTAATGTAAGGCATTTTGGCAGTAGTTAAGCATTTTGGCAGTAGTTAAGCACTTTGGCAGTAGTTTAATGGGCAAATTTAATTTGAGAACAAATGCTAATCTAATGTAAGACACTTTGGCAGTGTAATGTAATGTCATTTGGTGTAATGTAATGTAATGCTAGTTAAGTTTACTGGATATGTAATTTGTTTAGGGGTTACAAATGGTGACATGAATGGTAAGCTGTTTAGAGGTTACAAATGGTGACATGAATGTAATGCTAGTTAGTTAAGTAATGTAATGCTAGTTAGTTAAGTAATGTAATGCTAGTTAAGTTTGATATGTGATATGAATGGTAAATTGAATGGTAATTTCTTGATGAATGTAGAAGAAGATAACCAAAATTCAGTTTTCCCTAAAAAAGCAGGACCTGCCTTCTTTGCCAAAGTTTATGGTGGATATGTAGCTTTTGGTAACATGCCAAAGTTTACTGGAATCTGGAAAGCAAGAGGCAAAGCCCAAAACTAGCAAAAGCACCTGTCATTATAAGCACAAACCAAAACAGAAAAGGTTCCAAAACAGAACACAAACCAAAACAGGTTCCAACCATAACAGTCTTATGAATATATGCACAAACCAAAACAGGTTCCAAAACAGATTCCAACCATAACAACCTCAGGAAATATGCACAAACCAAAATAGGTTCCAAAATTGGTTCCAACCATAACATACATTAAATATTCAGGTTCCAAAACAGGTCCAACCATAACATACATCAAATATTCAAACCATAACATACATCAAATACTTAGGTTCCAAAACAGGTCCAACCATAACAGGTTCCAAACATAACAACCAACAACCATTAAAGTCTTCCACAACATTCAAGGATGAAAAAAAGGATCTTTGACAAAATGGCTCCTCTGTTGATCTTTCATCCTCTTCCGACGTTGTTGTACTCGAGATAATTTGGCAGGTTCAGGTGTTTTGAGATGGCTGGGATTGAAAAGCATCAGCTGGTTCAGATGGTTGGGATAGAGAAGCAGCAGCTACTTGAGATGCCTGGGATTGAGAAGGCCCTTGGGAAGTGCTTGACTGTTTCCTTTGCCTTAATTGCATACTCTGTTGTCCGCCACTTTGGTCTCCACCATCTCTCCTTCTTACCTAAAACAAATAATAATTAGAAGTTTCCATGATATAAAATTTTGATGAGTGAAAACATAGTTGAAACTGTGGCACTTACTGCAAGTTTGTCCTTGGCAATGTTCCTCTTCCTAGTAGGCTTTATGTTGGGATTTCTAGGTTCCTAATAACCAAAGTCATCAAGTCAGAAACCAAATCAAATACATTTAAATGTAAAGCAATAATTCTAAAAACCACATACCTTACAACTACTTCGATTATGCCCTTCTCCACCGCAATTGGCACACTTTAAAGGTAAACCATACCTAGGAAGCTTATATGGATTAGAAGGAAGTTTAGGTTCTTCAACAGCTTGTTTTCTTGTCTTCTTAGGCCTACCAGGCTGCTTGTGGTATTTCGGAGGGAGTAATGGAGGTAAATTAACCTTCATCCACTGATCTTGGCTAGTCATAGGCATAATCATTGGTTGATAGGCTCTCAAATAAGCCTCTTTCTTGTACACTGCATCACAAAAGTCCTCTGGATTCCCATGAAACCAACTTATTGCAGCACATGCATGCAAACATGGTATTCCATTCAAATCCCAAGCATGGCATGAACAAGAGTGGCCATTCAAATCAACAGCAAAGGTGCGGCCACTATGGTGCATTACTTCAAACTGATTTTGTCCAGCAGCCTTAGGAATGCACCACTGAGCTTTTGCTTTGTTTTTCTCTAATATCTTTCTAATTCTTGGCCCAACTTGTCCATGCCATTTCTCACAGAGAACCCTTCTTCCCGCCATCAACAACATTATATACAACCGAATTCTTTCTAGCATAGTCAGAATAGGCTTGTCTCGGGCATCCAGTATGCTACGGTTGAATGCCTCACATAGATTGTTCATAAGCATGTCACACTTGGAATCACTCTTGAAATATGCCCTACTCCAATGCCTAGGATCTTTCTCCATGAGCCAATCATGTGCAGGTTTAGACAACTGCAACATCTTTGTCATCTCTGCATGAAACCATGGCACTGTTGTGGCTCTAGCAATTGCTTCCATTTGATGTTTCAAGGCAAGACCTCTATGTTCCAAATAGAAGTTCCCATATAGATGTTTCAAACAATGTCTATGCTCTGCCTGAGGGAATAGAGCATTCACAGCATCTATTAACCTTTTTGTTTGTCAGTCATAAATACATAACCATGGCTATTCGTAATATTGAGATCACCACTCAATAATTCTAAAAACCACAGCCATGTTGAATTGCTCTCAATCTCTACATATGCATAGGCAAGTGGAAACATTCCGTTGTTTGCATCAACTCCCATTGCAGAAAGCACTTGCCCAGGGTGAGGCCCTTTGACATGACACCCATCCAAGCAAACCACAGGCCTACAACCATCTAAAAACCCCTTCTTGCAGGCTGCAAGACAGATGTAAATTCTTTGAAACCGTGGCCTATCACCTTCCATTTCAGATTTAATGATAACTGTACTTCCCACATTCCTGGTTCTTAACTCATGACAATATTCCCACAATACTTCATATTGTTTGCTGTAAGACCCCTCTACAATGTCAACTGCCATGGCTCTTGCTCTGTACACAGTTGCTCTAGATGGTCTGTAACCATAGTCTTGGTGAACTTGCTCTACAAAAGAAGAAGCAGTCCAATTTGGATTGAGCCTTAACTGCCCAGAATATCTTTCAGCCAACCAGCCAGCAGTAGCATGTATATTTTTAGTCCCCTTGCTACAAACATGTGTAGGATTAAAGGTTTTCACCTGCAGGTAAGTGCTACCACTAACACTTGAAGCATAGATAACAAAAGGACAGCCCTCTTCACATACTGCTCTTATTTTGTTACGGTCATTATGCATAAAAATCAACTCCCTTCCACAATTAATGGAGTATATCCTCACAGCTTTTCTAAACAACTCGGCAGTTGCAAACCTTAAACCTATTTTGAAACTTGGGCTTCCCATATCAATTTCAGGTCTGAAATCTTCACCTTTTGGCATCCTATTCTTCTTCCTTCTTACTTCACCCACTGCATCATCTTCACTTTGTGAACTATTTGGGCAGGTAAGTGTAGGTGACTCTTCTCCATTGTCTGACTCATCATTTTGCTCTGCATTAGGATCATTGTCAAAAATACTATGATCCACATAACCTTCAAACCACTTATCATCATTCTTCAATAATTCAATCTCTTCATCACTCTGTGCATAGTCACTGTCTTCAAAGTCTGGATCACTGCTATCATCATTCTCAGAACAAGAATATTCTTTATCACTGCTATCATTCCCCACTTGGCTTGAAGTTAAGCTCACTACCTTCAAGTACAAAACTACAACCCTGCTATTGCTTTTAGGTACCATGCTCATACAAGCTAAAAGTGTACTATCAGATATTATTTGAATGAGTCTGCTAGTTCCAAACTCTTCACCATAAAAACTCACATCATACCCATCGTCATATCCCAAATCTTTAGCCATTCCAAATAACTCTAACATGGACATATAGTCAACCTCACAGTAATCAAACCAACTGACTTCACCACCTAAATAAGACCACTGACTGTCCTTTCTATTTTTCACTAGTTTACCTCCATGGAAAAACTTAAATGTGACAACCTCATCAGCATCTTTATCTGCGTAATAGGAACATTCACTTAACAAATGGAAAAAAACACACAAAGAGAAAAGAAGGACCACACAAAGGATAATACAAGGAACACCCAAGGACCACATAAGGTATATTGGGGCCAGCACAGAATAAAAAAATATATGAAAGAACAAAAAATTTCGAGCAACACACCACACTAGGAACATGCAAGGACCACACAATGATCACACCAGAACCAGCAGAGTCAAAAAGTATACAAAAAACAAAAACAAAATCCTAACAACAGTTCAATGCACATGCCAAAATCAAGAAAATCGAGTAACAATGGGTCCACTTACATATGGGTTGACAACCTCCAGATTCTCTAAGCACCACCATCTTCGCACCTTCTAGCCTTAGAGTCTAACGCCAACGAATGATTTCTTCTCCAATTTCTCCCAAAATCGAAGGAACCCTCAGATTTTGACAACAACCCTCTTCTCCAATGAACCCTAAACCCAATTTCCCCTTTGTTACAAACTGAGAAACCCTTATTCGAACAGCTTAAAGGTTTAAAACGAAGTGGGGCCCACTATTCGTAACGGACCGTCAAGAAATTTGACGGATGGGGTAAATTGAGACGGTTATTTATACGTTGGGGGGTACTTTGAGACGTTTTCCACCACAGGTGGTAATCTGAGAAAAACGTAAAAGCACAGGGGGCATGTACATAATTAAGCCTAATATCAATTAAGTTGAAGAGTAAGAAAGTGTTGTAATTTTTTTTGCTGATATGGCTACTCATACCAAGCACTCAAAAACCTTTGAAGACACTGTTAATTTTCACTCAGCAAACAGGAATAGCTCATAATTTTATTTCTTTTTCCCCTTAAAATATGGTGACATGTCATTTTTCACCCTAAAAGAAAAGTATCTATATAATCGCAAAAAAATTAGACTTAGGGCCAGTTTGGCATTGTTGTGCTATGAAAATAATCGCTATCAAATTTGCTATGAGAGAAATCAGTTGTAAGATAAAGCAGTTTGGCGTTTGGTAAACTCTTTGTTAAAAGTGTTGTTAATATTGATTCTCGCATAATCAAAAAAATGATTGCTGCATAATTATAAACCCAGCGCCTCTTCGAAACTGATTCATGCATAATCAAAAAATGAAAGCTCCTCATTAGCTACTTTCCCTTATAGCTTTCTCTCACAACAATTTTTAAGAATAAGTTATTTTTCTCATAGTTTACCAAACGGGCTGGGCTTCTCAAATTTTTTTTTAAATCATTTATCACCCCAAATAAGCAATGTCAAACGGGCACTTAAACTAGTTTGATTTCAACTATGATTGATAATGATTTAACTTTAATTAATTTTCCAAAAGATAATGAAACTCATACTATAATCTACACTCAGCAGGATAATAACAAATTAGTCTAGTTTAAATTTAATTTCTGTGATAATCTAACTGGTTCTATATATACTCCCACAAGCTTCACAATCATTTCACTTGAAATCATTCACTCACTCATATCTTTCATTTGAGATTCTAAGATTTAATTTGCAATGATGGTGAAGAGTGGAGTTGCTGTGTTTTTCTTTCTTTTCTGTTTGGCTTTGACACAAAGCTTGGCTGCTGCTGATGATGCCAAAGCTCCATCACCACCCTCCCCAGCCCACCCAGGGTTTTCATGGTGGCACCCTGACCCTAAGCTTATAAAGTGCATGGGAGATTACCGTGCTGCTGCCGGAACTTGTTACCATGAGGTTTGCGTGTCGTTTTGGACCCGAAAAGTTGCCATTCAAGAAGATTGCTGCAAGGCCATTGTACAGCTTGACGAAGATTGTTCCTCAGCTGTGTTCAGCAGGTTCAACAACCCTTTCTTCCAGCTTTTGTTGAAGGAATATTGCTCAAACAAAGGAGAAGGATCATCACCGGCACCACCAAAGGCAACACCAGCTCCACCAAAAGCATAAGATGTCTAGTTGGGTCTTAGATTAGGCTTAGGCTTCTTTGAGTACAGAATCAAAATAATAAGTACTCTTTTTACTATTTAGTTAGTTTTAGCCATAGGAGTAAAATATCACATAGGGTTATTTGTAGCTAGTGTTCTCCATTTTGGCATGTTTTTGTTAGGCATTTTAATCTTCTTAATAAAAATTAGTTTTGTTCAGTTATTTGTTCCTTTATGATTAGTTTATGATCCCAAAATTTCAAGGTCGGCCCTTTGAGTTGAGTGCTCATTGAAGAATTTGAAATTAATTCATCCAACATAAACCCTAATCAAGGCAGAAGCACTGTTTTTACCTCTAAAAATATGGGGTCGTCGTCTTTTTGTTGATCTCTGAATTGCAATAATGTTGCATGTAAGAATATTTCGTAAAAAACTAGAGCGGGTATATTCTCATCTTCCATATGACATGTATAAAAGTTCTTCACAGCATTAAAATGAGTATATAGGATGGCATTAGATGTAAATTACATTCCACTTGTTTCATTTACTAAAGAATACCACGTATGTAGAGGGCGGAAAAGATTCACATTTCTCTCCAAAATTTGTTTAAAGTAATGACCCAAAAGATTTCTGGTCCTGCAAGATTGGGAAGCCTCACAACTGCAACAAATAAGAACATTCGCCACCTGAAAAAAAAAATGATTAATATTTGACAATGGCTAAAAAAACTAAATAAGAAGTACGACCATATCAGTATATATTTCTTATCTAATGCTTGAAAACTTGTGTCATAATTTGAGTAAAAAGATGGTGCCACCCGCTATACCTCTGCAACATGATGAACAAGCTGAAGAAGAATTTGAACTTTTAGATTGACTTCTGTGTGAGTATTACACGTATATTCCCAACCCTAACTCTTTTGGATTTGTTTCCACCATCCATGATGGCCTGTTTGAGGACCAAGAAAATATTAAGAAAGAAATGGAATAGTCAATACAAACAATAATATTATGTATCTAAAGAAAGAGAACAAGGGACCAGAAATTTTACTTGTTCATTACAAAATTGAATGTTCCTCGTGCAGCACGTTCGAGAAGGAGTTCTCTTGCCTCGATTGCAACGCCTTCAGTCTATACAGAGAGAATTTGATAAGAGGCTTATTGCATCAATGGGCAGCTTTTAGGTTTCTAAACTACGTACTCAGCCCTGGTACATACCTCCTCTGGAAACCAAACCCCAGGCTTTGTGCTTCCCTCAAGAATTGCCAGAACAAATGCAGCTGTTGCATTTCCAACTGATCTGCAACACAAATTCTATTTCAGTCACATCTCATTCAAATCCTCCAGTACGTACTTTCACATACATATGTCCACACCACAAATATCACATTTGATATCAACCTTGTAACATTTACAGACATTTAAAAGAAAAGGGAATCGGGGTGTCCGCGATTGATTTGGAAGGAAAAATAAACAAATAGACCTCTGGATAACTTAAAACTTACACGGAGAGTCTCTTGTGACTGAATATGCCAACTGTATTGCGCCCGTCAGAGCACTCCAAATCAACCTGCCACCCCACCAAAAAGAAAAAGAATGAAGTGAAGTGAATTGCGATGACAAAGATGGTGTGAAGACTTGACTCAGTGTTTATATCCTCACCCTCATTGATACACGCTCTCCAGCAATACTATCAACTCGTCGGACTACAGGGTCAAACAGGTCAACCATCTGTTGGACTTTGCTTCTGTCTCTCAACAGCTCCTGAAAAGTTTATTCTAAAATTACTTAGGCTTATCATACGAGCTAACAGTTAGTTACTCAAAATTAATGTTGGGTCATTTTGGTGAGAATTTGTTTCTTAATCCTCACTAATTCCTTTGAAATGCAGAATATTGGCAATAGTCAATCAAATCTCATCTCATTTCTTATAATAAGGGTGAAAATCTAAATGCTAAGGCTAGAATTACAATTCTAGATTATCAGAGGGGATGCATGAAATCCCAAATGTCATAGCGTACTGCTGGAAGAAGACTAGTCATGGCTGCCATTCCCCAATTCCAAAAGAAGGGTGAAGTTCCAAATCGAGCACTGACAGTAGGTACTCCTAGGACCTCATGAGTACTTCTTACCTCTGGCAAATTCCTGAAAATAAGATTAGGTTTAGTACAACCCTGTTTTATTGGAACCAAAGCAGTTTCATACTTTATTAACTGAGCAGATAGACAGAAACCAACTGGTTCATCTAAACGGAATTCATTAAGCTTCAAAAGAAGGAAAATAAGTCCTGATCGGACTTTTGGGAGTTGATTAAAGGATACAAAAGCATCTCAAGGACAAACTACCATGCAATCTAAGAGTTATTCTGCAATCTATCAAGTACTGCATGGCCAGTAACCCCTCGTGGACATAATTGACAAACTCAGCTATGAGACAACTTCTTGAGAAAATTGACCTATGAGACCATTATGGTACATAAAACTTATATTTGTCTCCCCTTCTTGCAAGGACCAGAAAATAAAATTTAAACAAAACTTCGGATGAAACTTCTTCGATCGTGTTAATTATCTTTAATGCAATTCCAGTATAGGGTTGTCAAACATGGTGACTGAAATATTACAATGTCGACAAGAAAGAACATAACTAGAAAACAAATTAGAAATGATACCAAAATATTTGATTGACAAGTTTCTAATGGGGTTTCCTTGCCCTTTCAGAAAATGTGGATGGGGGGAATTGTATACAACTTCATGAGACTTGTTGGGAACTTGGCATCGTCTACATAATGACCCAATTGGTGATAGCCATAATGGTATTACAGGTTTGATTTGTATATAATTTATTGATCATATGACTTGGTGACTTTAAACTCATGCATAAAATTGTAGCTTACAGAACTTACAACAGATAAACATCTTTCTTTCCAATTCCTTTTCCAAAGTCAATCGTCAGCATTCCACTATATGGCTTTAGTTTGATCTTTTCTCCTGGTTGAGTAGCCCATTATTGGTGTTAGGCATGATATACGGAATTCAGGAGTCATCAAACACAATAGAAAAGGTGAAGAAGATATTGTAGAACAGCATTGGAACTAACCTTTATTAAATGCAACAACCTCCTCTCCGAGAAGCAAAAAACTAGTGGCTAAGATAGTTGGACCAGCCCCGCCAGTTCCCGCTGTGTAGTAGTAGAATCTGATGAGAAGATATTGGCACATATTTGTTAGGCATAGAATTCATGATGACCCCATAGAGAAAAAGCACAAACATTCCATGTTATATGTGACTATGCATAAGATTAAATATGTTATCTCAATCAAGAAGCATTTCGAAATATCCCAAACATCCAATTTCAAGTTTGCTCAAATTTGAATAACAATAAAAAGACATGGAATGCGACTGGGGAAGACATTGACCACAGAGCTTGAGAAGTGCGGCCAAAAAACGGTTTATTTCGAATATGAAGATATTTTTAGTAGAAGACACCATTCAATGACAAAGAATCTCAACCAGAAGAAAAGTCCGATTTGATGCCAACTGATTGGAGATATACTGTCAATGTAAGTTTAAAACAATAAAAATTAAACAATTCTTGGACTTAAAATAGGTAATGGGAATTGCTACCTTAGCCTTTCTGGTTTGCCTTTGCTTTCACTTCTTGCCGCACGAACTAGTTCTGCAGCCATCACTGTCATTATAACAGTAGGAGTCAGCATCTAGGAGACAAGGAATAGCAGATATGACCCCTTTTCACTTTCACACAAGAATACCATCTGACGACACCTCTAATTTACAAGTACTCCTATGAGCTTCCATTGGTGTGTTTACAAAAAATTTGGTACGTTAAATGTGGAATAAAACCTTAGGCATCATGTATTTTTGTCCTTGAGATAATCCAAACCTCACATAGACAAACCCAAAAGTTAGGTTATTACATTAGGAGGTTTAGTTGTTAAATTATACATGTAAGGTACAACTCATCTGAATTCAAAAATCCCACTACTCGGAGTATCTCAGACCAGGCTTTTTAGGTCTATCTAGATCCAGAGAGTAACAAATCTCAGCTACGGACCCAAATAAAAAGGAGCTTGGTACTTGAGATTATTATTCACTTGCATTTTACTTCAAAGAATATATCTTTGAAATATTATCTGGGACAAACAACTCCTTTTGTTTCATTTTAAACACGGTTCAAATATATGCACAAGCAAGTGTACCAAACTTTGTGGACTACAGAACAAATGTGCTGATGATACACCATTGCTCACTCCGGGATAATTCCACCAGTTGTTATTGCTGGAACATTTGCAGCTAGCGCTCTACTGTTGAAAGATTTTGCACGCAGTGAGTAGGCTGTATCATCACAAACATCAACATAGGCTGTCTGTGGAGAGAAGAAACACATTACCAAAGTCATACATTTTATAGTAAAGTTGAGAGATATATTTTCCAACATAAACATGCACGCACACAAACGAAACAAACATATGTCACTTATAATTAAAAACACACAATTTTTCTTTTCATGTGGGGGAGGGGGACAATCTGTGGCCATAGTAACATTCCTCACCTTTGTCTGTAAGGCAGCTTCCAATACAGTACACTTCTCTGCTTGTTGGAATGGCCCTGCAGCATGAACTACGAGATCCACATCTGCAGAGAGAAGTCGCTTAAAAACAAATTTGATAATTACTGTTATGAAATTAAGACCACAAAATACTACATGGACATAAATTATGATCTCTATTATATGCAGTGTTCTCCAAAATGTGATATTGTGACAGAAATATATGAAATCCCAGACACAAGGGCATAGTTGTTCAGTAAATATTGGTTAAGTGAAAATCATAGAATAGAATATGGAAAACTCTAGAGATAAATGATGTTTCTCTTTGTCCCAACATTTCTTTTTCTTTTGGTCGCTTGTCCCAACATTCATGCTTAATGCATTCATAGTTCTCAAACCAAAAAGCAGAACAACATAACAAAAAAGTTACATAGGTCAAGCAATAATAGGTAAGAAATTACATATTTTGCCCCTTTTTTCTTTTTTCTTTAACCTAGGTGCAGAAATAGGTGCTTGTGACACATGGACCACAGAAGACTACCTAAAATTTTGCAAACGAAATTGGATTCAGTTATTCTTAAATTATAACTAGCAAAATTTCATTGGTACTCTTGGTTCATACCAGGAGTACAAAGAAGACAATAAAAATAATGGGTAAAGAATCAGCCAAGTACAATACTGATACTTATTTGGTGAAACCATTCAATACCCGAGTACGGGAAGCCAACTGAAATTAAATCATGGTAACATGGAAAAAGAACTTAGAAGAATCATTCACCTTTCAGAGCTACTTCCAATGATTTTACATTGTCAATATTTACTTCAGAGAACTCTGAGTTTCCCCCAAGTGTAGCCACCATATTAGCTCCTTTTTCCCTGTGATGGAATCATAATTCCAGAAATGTAGCATCTCAAATTGCCAGCATTCGTAATCAGATATGACCAAGGAGATGTGAAAAAGTAACACATTTTCAAGAGCGTATTTTACCAGAAGATTAATATTGTTTAACTTTATGTCATCTAGCAATTGATAACTGATATTTGTTTGCTTTATGAGAAAATGAGGGAAAAGATGCTACAAGTTCCCATCAACACGTTTTATTACAAATTTCTATCTGGGACTGGAAAAAATTTCAAGTAGTTCTGCTAAAGATATTAATTTTAAACCATTACGTTTTTTCAAACAATTATCATTTTATTTTCTCCACCATGTTTTCTCGAAAACCAAACAAATATGAGACTGTATGAGAGAGAACTGGGTTCTTTGTTGGGCATAATGGTAAATTTGATTACCTGTTTCGACCGCCTACGAGAATTTGGAGGTCGGGGCAGAGCTTGGAGAGGGCAATGGCAGTGGAACCTCCGACCCGACCCGTTCCGCCCAGAACCAGCACCCGCGAGTTTCGGGTCTTCTCAGGGAGCTGAACCCTGCTCCCAATTTGGGCCTCTGCAGAACTACTACTAGGAGAAGAAGTGACCGCAGCAGTGACATTACAAAGGCTCACTCTGCTCTTCAAATGCATATACACTGAAGAAGCTCCCGCCATGATTCTCTCTCTACTCTATCACAACTCCCAAAACCCCCCTTCACTCTGGCCTATCCTATCAGTTTTTATCGTTGGTGATGACGTGGCACTTTGTGTACCTAATAATCTTAATTTGGTTTTTTCATTGATATTTAAGTAGGTCTCTATTTTATTTTATTGGATTAGGTCTTCGGTTTGGTTCGACTCATGTGAATGGGAATTCGATGTTTTTTTATGCACTATTGTAGCGGTGTGATTTTGTTGTATGTGAATTATCTGTTATAAATCCTAGGCGGTAAACATGAGTTTTTATCATAAATAGTTAAAATTTATTCCCATAATCTATAAGAGCACCTTCAGCGCTTCGGTCCAGTCCGGGCAAAAAGCAGTCTCAAAACTTCCTCTAGCGTGCAAGGTCCAACCTAGGCAAGGGTTGAGTCCCACGAGCCCAAGCAAGCCTACTTGCAAATTCAACCCGAGCTGCTGCCTGGGCAAAATGACACAATGTTGACATCATAATGACGTCAGCAACCCAAAAAAATTGAAAAATATACCAAAAATTCCTTAATTTTTTTTATAAATACCTAGTCATATTCTTTACTTCTCACATCAAAAACTCTATACAAATTCATCTCCTCATATCTCATGTGAATAGTAATTGCTCTTGCCTTTTGGGGTAGAAACAAAAAAGGCAATGGCTGCTACTATTCACGTGAATAGTGACAAATATTGCCTCACATTTGCCTTCCCCCTTGCCCTTTGGGGTGGAGGTACTCTAAATGTCAGTTTTTATAAAACCTTTCAAATATAGCAAAACTCTTACTTAAATAGACTAAAATGCCCTGAAAATTAAAATTCTCATAAACCTAAAAGTCAAAACTCTTTCTTTTAATTACCAAAAAACTAAAATTAAAAACTCTTTCTTATTCGCATTGGTTCAAAGAGGGGCGGAATGTAGTTGATTTTTTTTCTCACCAGTAAAAATTGATTATCTTCACAAACTTTTGTTGGTCCGACTTCTCTTTACTAATAAGAATATATAAGTTTTCGTCCAAAAAAAAATTAAGAATATATAAGTTGGGCAAGGAAGGAGCTTAGAATGATGAGCGGCAGGGAAGTTGCGTCTAGTGATTAATAGTGACTATTTAACAACAGAACCAGACAAAATCCGAAGTATTATATTAATAAGAAAACAATCGACCAAATTAATTAGCTCTAGTATTCTGTATATGAAGGAAAATTTTGAGCGGCAGAAGTGTGGCAAGCTTATGTTTCTTTTTTGAGTTTTTTTTGGCAAACAAAGTGTGGTAGGCTATATGAGAAAGTTTAAAGCTTATGTTTGATTTGCTTGCCTATATGTTGGTTACTGCAGAAAGAGCCTGCAGCTGTTAGCAATATTATCATGTATATTCCAATTCCTGGTTCCAATCATGTTCATGAAATGAAGAAGGAAAAACACAGAAAAGGAATAACTGGTTTTGGTTTTTAGGTTTTTATCTGGGTTTTAAATTTAAGGGCATTTAAGTTTTTTTTTTTAATTGCATTTTTGCTATTTTTGAAAGTTTTTTTTTAATAAAAACTGACTTTGATGAATTTAAGAGGTAAATTTTGGCTATTTATGATAAAAATTCGATAAACATCTTTATGTTGCAAATGTGGGCTATGTCAGCTGGCCAAGACAATGACCCGCCCATTTGTACCAAAGTTTGAATCCCCCTCCTATACAAAAGATTAATTTAGACTATCACTTATATCAACAAAAAAATAATAATAATAATTCAGATTTGTGTCTATGTATTGAAGGGAAATTGTACTGGGTGCTTACTTATGTTGGCCTCCTTGTAGTGGCGTGACTTTGTTATCAGTTTATGGGAGATTTTTCAATAAGTATTTTATGTTAAAGATTTGTTATATACTTCTGTTCACCCGTTTTACTTTTACTCCTGTGGTGGAAGGGCGAAGTTCCCCACTGCCTTGTGAACCATTGACTGGTCAACAAGTCAGTTTTCTTTGGTGTATGAGCATACCACTGCTAGCAATGAATATTCTAGCAGACTTATTCTAGAATAGATAACTTGCGCCCCAAGTTACTGATTTCCATAAACAAGCGATTGTAAATTTGAGTGAGGAATATCTCCCAAGTAAGTTCTTTTCTTGCCTCAGACTGGTGAGGACTTTTAACAATTTATCTCAATATAAAGAGGTTGGTCTGGCCAGAATAGTTGATGGAATTTAAGCTGTCTTAGGCAGAACTACCTTTTACAAAACTATAAACATAAATATCCAAGTTAGAAAGATGAAAGGACAGCTGGAACTCCATTTCTGCCTGGATATGAGGTTCTGATCCGAGCTGGACTGGACTGTTAATAACTTCAGCTGCTAATCTTCGGCTGTAGATCGATACCAAAGGTTAATTTTGGCAGAGCTTTAATACACTTCAAGCTTTTGTGAGGCTTCTGAGTGGGCAGAACTGCGGCTTCTTCAGTCTGTAAGGGCAGAAGTGGCTGTTCTCGAGGACTTCAATGGGCTAGAGACTGCGCTGTAAAATTTGTTGAGGTTTTCATGTTTGGGAAAAGTTCAAGCTCTACCTGTCTTGGTTTTTTGCTAAACCAAATTTGTAACGAGAGAAATCTCGTTTTGAATGACTTATTTTCTAGGTCTGAACCTTGGGAATTCTGATCTAAAGCTGGTTTTCACTTGGAATTCAGGTGAGCTTTTGGTTGATTTTGAGTTGTTTGTTTGATTGATGACTTGAGTGTTGGATCCTTTTTTTTGAACCTGTTCACCCTCTCTTATAGAAAAAATGTTTTCTGGAGCAGGGTAATTTTTTAATAATGGGCGGCAATTTTTCTAAGAAAGATCTTTTTAATTTTAAGACACAAGAAAGAGGAATTTTATCTAATTTTTTGGCAGTCGAGCTCTCAATAGACACTTCTCTGTTTTTGAAAGAGAACCTAACTCCTTTCTAATCCCAACTGCCCTTGTGAGATCTCAAACCGTGATGGTTAGCTTGATTTCCTGTTTGAACAACTCTCTGCCCTTCTGCTTATCTTCTTCTTTAAATAACAAGGCCTACTTATCTCTTGGGACAATCACCCTATTTGGAATAGAGAAAATATCTCTGAATATATATATACATGTAAGAGAGGATTTTGATCTTCCGATTATCCAAAGATGTCTCTTCCCAGTTTGCCAGCTACTACCCTGTTTTAATTAACTCCCAATCAACTCAGTTGAGTTTGTTGACTTTTCTATTTCTGGTAGTCATGTGGGCTTCTAAAAAATAAGCTTTAATTAATCCTGTGATATTTTTAATCTGATCTGCGTTAGTGGTGGGCTCCTTCAAAAAGCTGGTTTTTTTGAAGCCCAATCTTTTCTTGCTAATCTAATCAGTCTTGGTTTGCCCTCTTGGATTTTCTGGGTTCCTTGATTTTGGGCTGGGTTTGCAAGATTTTGGCCCAATTTCAAAGAATGCTAGCGGCTGCCCAGAATTAACATGGGCTTTGGTCTTTTGGACTGGGTGTGCCAAATTTTCGGCCCAAACAACTTCTAATCTTGATCATTGAGTTGCATTCATCAAATGTGTTGGTAATCTCTTAGATGCAATTTAACAACCAATATTAGAAGTATGTAATCAAGTACGGGCCCAGCCCTGTCTAAGTAGTTCTGGAGCCTGACCCAAAATTTTGAGAAAATTTATATATCCCAGCCAATACTTATATAGGCCAGCCCAATCATAAAAGCTTGGGAAACTTTTGATACTTATATAGGCCAGCCCAAATCTCTACCCAATCAGCTATATACCCAACAAATTCAAATTTCAAAAATCTGGAACCAGCTGGTGCGAGCCTACCCCGAATTCTTCTTTTTTCTTTTTCTTTTTCTTTCTTTCTTTTCCTTACTCTAGTCAACCTCCTCCTTGACTCTTTTTTTTCTTGTTATAATTTATTTCGAAGATTGTTTTAATGTATAACTGGGAAAGTATGTTGTTCTTGAGAATATAGTTGAAGATGTAGAAGTAAATTATAGAAGTGTTTAATAGATTATATACAATTTATGAATTATTATTAAAACTGTCGAAATTTTAATTTTTATGAAAAACTTATCTTAAAAATTAGTCTTGGTCATTTTTGAATCATGGGTCTGTGCCTGTATGTAACCAATCCCGAATACTTATGGGAGAATGTCCCATTAGTTAATTATTCAATTGTACATACTTCTATGTAAACATCATAATCCTATTGTTTATCATAGGGCTATGTTTCAGTCGGAACAGATCGAAAACAAGCATTCCAAATTTCGATATGAAACTGATATTAACTTCTGATGCTGATTTTGAAAATTTGGAATAAAATTTTATTCCAAAACCTATTTTTGGCAATTTCTGAGTTCAAAAATTTAGGAAATTCCTCAAAATCCATACTTTCATAAATATCGGATATTAATTTCAGAAATCTGGAACGAATAATCTCAACCAAAAAAACAAACAAACAAACAAATCAGACATTTGGGACTTTAGATATTTCATACTAATTATTAACTCTGGGTCCTCATAACTTGAAAAGACTCCAGCTGGGCATTCTTTAAAAAGCCCAAATCAAGACTATCTGAACGTAACTAGAAAGAAGCATTTTATAGAGGAGAAAAGTGTAGTTTTTCTCTCCTTTACAACGAAATATCCCTCATTTGACCAAATAAAAAATAAAAAGGATCTTTCATTGTACAGTTTTTCTTTTCCGAATTTGGTGAGGTGAAATTGATGCTTTGGGTTTGTTTATTACAACACTGTTTTGGCCATTAATTAAAATATAATTAAAAGTCTTCACTACTAAATTCATTAAAATAATAGCAATCTCAGATAATTCGACCCATTATCCGAATCATATTCATATCAATATCTCTTTCTCTCTCCACACTATTATGGTCAATTTCGCAATATTGTTTCATGATTAATCCTATTGTTTAATTTTCCATTATCATGATTGAGAGTTTGGTCCCTATTTGTGTATGATTAACCATGT